CATCGGCCGGGCATCGGTATCGGCATTATAATGATCATCGTGCTCATGATGATGCTGCGTGGAAGAGGAAGAGCCGAAAACAGAACACAAAAGGTGGCTGGATGCCGAACTTCCAACCGGCAAATGGCCAAGATCGATACAATTTTCGAGCAGCATTCGGGTTTTTGGGCATTAAAAAGTCAGAGAACAGTAACAATGCCCGGCCACAGATACACAGACACAGAGATACCCCGATACATGGCTCTGTGGAGCCGGGGAACAGAGACAAAGTCACCTTTTTCGTTATACAGGGGGAGACAAAAGGCGGTGGAATGAGAACAAGATCATTGCATTTTTGCTGGCTGCTGCCGTTTTTTTCGTTCTTGTTTTTGTTGCAGCCTCGAAGCCTGTTTCGCCCTAGCTTGGTAACAAGTTTGACTGAAAAATTCTAAAAATAATGCCGGCCGGTTTGTCGTTAAAAAAATAAAATACAACAAAAAATCAAAAAAGAAAAAACAGGAGAATAAGAAATGAAAGAGTGGGCCCAACTCTAAAGACGCTGCACTGCATCTCTCTCTGTATGTGTGTGTGCCAGTGTTTGGGAAAAAGAAAAATAACAAAAATGGGTAACATTTCAAGGGAAGGGACAAAGGATGCCAGCACAGGGCCGTGTCGCTGCCAAGAACCAAGTGCCGAGTCACTCGATTTGGCTTACAGGCAGCTGCAATTGGTCCAGGGCTGGGCACAATTCACAGGTGACTTTGTTGGCAGTGATTTTGTTTTTAATTATTATTGTGGTGATTTTCTATATGGCAAAGATTGGTTTCCTTTCTTTCTTATATATTTATTTTATTGCATTATTAATATAATTTACAAAATTATTATTTTTTTTAAATAAATCAATTTGTGAAATCTATTACCCCATTACACTAAAAATAATACGATTTTGGTTCGTATAATCGTGGGTCATATAAAGTAGAACAATCGTATTATTATCTTATTTTAAGATTTGTATTATATATTATGTTTTTGTGTGTGAATAAAACTTGTTAAGTCTTATTTCTTGAATTTATGTTTTCATATTCAGATTTTCGTTTTTATTAAGATTTTATTTTGGAATAAAAAACAAATCCTAAATCTAGTTCCTTTTATCAGTCTTATAGAGCAATTTTCGAATCAAATAATAGGGAAACAGTTTGACCCAATTTTATTATTATTATTTATTATCTTATATATTATACAATCTTAAATATTATTTATTATGTTTTTGTGTTTGAATAAAACTTTATAAGTCTCATTTCTTGAATTCATTGTCTGATGTTAAGATTTTCGTTTTTATTAAGATTTTAATTTGGAATCCAAAAAATCCTAAATCTAGTTCCTTTTATCAGTCTTAATGCAATTTTCGTATCAAATATTAGGGAAACAGTTTGAGTGATTTTAATTAGTTTATATGTTTAATCTAAATTTTTTCAAATTTATTATTATGATTATTAAATTAAATGCTCGGAAAGCAAAGATAAGAATATCATTAAAATATGAGAAAATTATAAATATCGAATAATACAAAAATAGGAATTGCAATAAAATTAGACAAAATTATAAATAAGGCAAATACAATTATTATACCTTGCAGGTATTATAATTTCAGTCAGAAGTTTGCAACGCAGTGAAGAGGCACCTCCGACTATATAAAGTATATATATTCTTGATCAGGATCAACAGCCGAGTCGATCTAGCCATGTCCGTCTGTCCGTCTGTCCGTCTGTCCGTCTGTCCGTCTGTCCGTCTGTCCGTTTCTACGCAACTAGTCTCTCAGTTTTGAAGCTATCTGAATGAACTTTGCAGTTAGTCTTCTATATACTCTCACTCGTATATATGTCGGAACGGCCGGATCGGACGACTATATCATATAGCTGTCATAGGAATGATCGAAAGTTTTACAAAAAAATTATAAATTTTAGTTTTCAACAGAATTTGATCAAATTTGAGATATAGCCATTTCATATTATTCTACAATTTTGTGTAAATTTATGAAAATCGGACGACTATATCATATAGCTCCATAGGAACGATCGAGAAATTAATTCAATTAATAAGTAGAACATTTTCAGTTTTCAACAGATTTTCATCAAATTTGAGATATAGCCGTTTCATATTATTCTACAATTTTGTGTAAAATTTTATGAAAATCGGACTAATATATCATATAGCTCCATAGAACGATCGAGAAATTAATACAATTAAATTTATAACTTTTTAGTTTTCAGCTGATTTTCATCAAATTTGAGGTATAGCCATTTTATATAAGTCTTAAATTTTGTGGCAAATTCCGTAAAATCGGACGACTATATCATATAGGTGCCATACACACGATCGTTTGATGTAGAGGAAAATGAGAATCTGTGAATGTAAAACTGCAAATATAATATGTATAGGTGAATGAAATGAAAGCAGGTATTACTTCATTGTTTTTTAACACAAATATATATAATTTATATTGTATGGATTCCTATTCATAGAAGTTCTACCTGCAAGGGTATATAAACTTCGGCGTGCCGAAGTTAGCTTCCTTCTTGTTTTTTGTAAGATATATAAAATATTACAAAAACTTAAATAGAAATATGATAAAAAATAATAAATAAATAAAGATATAATTTAATACAAAATTCCTTTCTCGCTAAACCTAATATTGTTTTTATTATTTTGGTGATTTTCTGCTATCTTTGCAGCCCTGATGCTGCCTGATGTTGCATTTTAGACCTTCAAACTCTGCACCAATCTCGGTCTCAATCCCAATCCCTGTCCGGTCCTGGTCCCTACTCCCTGATGATCATGACGCTGCTAAATGTGGCCGGTGATGCCCAGCGGGGAAGGGCAGCCGTTGTTGGTGGTGTTGACTCCGCTTTTAGCGTTTGTTTGCAACAAGTAACGCTCATCTGTATCTGTATCTGCGGCAGTGTTTGCCGGGCCAAAGAGTTGCTTACCTGGACCGGCCGGGCCTCGCTACCTGCGCAGAGCGGACAGGTAGGCGTAAGCATGTATCTGCAGCTGTATCTGTGCCTATATCCTTCGCCTTGCCACGGATGCAGCGGTCAGCAGAGGCAGCACAGCATCAGCAGCAATCCATGTATACGTAGTATATAGGAATACATGTATGTATATTTACAAGTTTTATATAAGGACCGGTGATTGTGTCTCCTGGTATGACTCTGCAACTTACTCTCGGCTATGGGGTAGCTAGGCGTCGGGGCTCTTCTGCCTCTGCTTAATGGTTTTAGGAAATCGAAAATTAAATAATTTATCTCGATTTTATGACGTTACAAGCAGGTTTTATTCCCCTCACCTTCCATCTAGCACGCGATAAATCTTCGGCTTACAATCAGAAGAAAGATGCAGGAACAGAATATACACATGCCCCATGCCCCATGCCCGGTGCCTTCCACAGTCGCCTGTAATTTGAATAGCCGCAGTTCTAATGCCGTAAAAAAGCGATGCTGCTCTTGGCCCCTGACCCTCGCCGTAATCAAAATCCCAACTTGAATCAACCGTGGAGGGGTGCTATTTTTAAAAAGCCCCATCTTGTCTTGGTCATTATTTTCAACGTTTTTTATTTTTGGATGGTCATTGCTCTCAAGTGGTTCGTTCGCGTCGAGATTGATTCGAAAGAAAGGTGCAGAGAAAGTGGTAAAGAGGCAGTGGCTCATCGAGCTTGACTTGGCTAAAGTGGGTTGTCACTGGGTCTTGCGCTTCCACAGAGAGAAATGTACTACACTATATTATATTTTGATTTAATTCATTGGATTTTATTTCCATAGGCATTTCAGTCGCCTTTAAGTAAAGACAGTTGTACTATGAAAAGCATTTGATGAACTTATATAAAATCAAATTATAACCTGATTATGCGACACAACAAAACCCCCTGAATTTGTAGTCAGTTCATATAAATTTTTAGTTAATCTGTTTTTTTAATTCAAAATAAGTCTCCTTAATCCAAATAAATAAATACAAAAAGTCTTGTATATAGGATCAATTTTTTTACGATCCTGCAGAAAATATTCGTTTATCTTCATATTACTATAACTCGAGTTTTATCAATCTGTGTTAAATTACTTGTGTGATCGTTTCGATTGGTGGCAGCTATTTTATATAGAGAGCAAAATTAAAGTGAAAATAAAAGTCGCCAAATGGCTTCGAATGAATGGTAAAGACTAGATCGACTCGACTGTTGAGGCTAATCTAAAATATTTGTTATATAGATATATAGATATATTTGATATTAGATCCGCTTTTGGAATATAAGTACAAATATATATATATACTGCGTTGCAAACTTCTGACTGAAATTATAAACCCTGCAAGGGTATACAATCCTTCTTAAAAGTGTTGAGTTTTCTTGAAGTATATACCCCAAATGAAATATAAGGCACATACTATTGTCTACGCTATATAATAATTCGAACTGAAATCCAAATTTTTGATGTGTGTAATTATCGGGGACGAGGAGTGATTTTTCAGTCCGGTCGCATGTGTTTGTCTCGTTAGCCATTGATGAAAAAGTTTTCGGTTAAATCTAACCATGCCAGCTGGTACAGTTTCGAAAAGGAAATAAAAAGCTTTCATACTCTGTGGTCACTTTGATGTGGTCTTAAAGCAAAAATTGCATGATCATTATTAAATGACAATTTAGCCAAGTTGGATATTAAGTCTTATTCATTTGCCACTTGTCTTTTGTTTAAACCTTTCATTGATGTAATCTCTTCAAAGCCACAATTATACCTAACCGTAACACATTAACTAAAGGCTAACGAGGGACAAACAACAAAATAAACAACTCCTTTTACAACAAAAAATGGTATATTATTGTTTTATTAAGCTCGCAGATTGGCTGGATCTGGGACAGACCTTATTTCTAATATGCTATCAGATGAAGTTAGAGAATTTAAGTCTTAAAGTTTTGCTCTTCATTAATTTTTAAATTTTTTTTTGTATCTCAAAAACCCAATGAAAATAAAATTGTATAAATTCAGATAAACTTTAAATATATTTAACTTATCACTTTATAACAATCTTAGGGAAAAGCATAATAGTCCTTTACATTGTGGCCCTAGTAGAGTACGACCTCCTCGACGCCATACCACGTTGTGGAGTAAATGGGTTTTGTCTTGCGCTTCTCAACAATATGCGTGAGAAGTGGGACTATGTTTGCCAAGTCAAATAAGCTGTCCTGATAGAAGGAGAGGAGTTTGGCCCAATTAGAGAGCGTCTCGCGCAAATCTTCGTCCCTCGATATACTCAACAAGGTAAAGTGGGAGGTTAGGAGGCAACCGAGCCATTGCAGGGAGTGCAGCTCGGTTTGAACCATCGAGTAGCTCTGATTCGGTCGCTCCTCCAACTGGGCTCTGGGGTCACTAGCTAGATTATATAGATGTTTAATTAGGCGCTGCACGTGCACTAATTCCAGATGGTGGCGAAGGTGCTCTTCAATACCGATGGAATCAAATTTGCATGAAAGCACTGCATTGAGCAACATATCGTTAGACTTATTCGAAGCAGCTGGTTTGTCCTGGGCATGACCGTTGACTTGGGGTGCATTTTCACATGTGTCTAAAGCAAATCGCAGTGACCAGGCCAGCATTTTTTCTGATATGTTGCTATAGCGGCGTAGACACATCAGTACATGTTCGGTGTTACCTGTTTTAATAAAAAGAGTGAGAATCTTCTCAATGATCTCCTCTTCGCCGGCTCCACTTCTCTCCAGCTGTCGAACCAAAGCCTGGACAGCCGTGTTCATTGGTCCTGCGTCAAAGAAGTTTGTCATCAGAGTCACGCTTACATCGTCAAGAGCGTTTTCACTGCTGGTGACTTCTCCATGGACATGATTCTTGATTATCTCGTTAATCTCTTGGTCCATTAGCTCGGGAGGATCATATGCTAACTCCCTGCCATCGGCAGCTTGCAACTCCGGCGAAGACAGGAGTTTATTCATCTTGGATTTAGTAGCCTTATAATTGAAGGGCTTAGTGCTACCATTGAATGTGATGACTGACTCCAAGTGCTCCTCCTCGTTGATATGATCCATTTCGATGGGCGTGAAGTGTGTATCTCTGAGCTGGGAGCCCAACATGTCTATAAGAACCTCTTGGTTCATTCGGTACTCCACGGAGGCTATATTATGACCCATAGCCAGAAGGATGTGCTGATCTCCGGCCCACAGGCGAGAGAATTCTAGGTACACCTTGAAGTACTGCTTGGCATTCACCACTTTGAACTGCGTGTTGTATACTAATAGAGAGGCCCCTTCCTGACCATAGTTGGCCCCGTAGATTGCAGCGAAATTCCTAGAAACTCCATGCACAGACATCTTGCTTTCCACATTCAGCTCGGCCAGCATAGACACGAATTGCCCGGGCGAACGCTCTGAAGTTCGGTCTGCCAAGTTTAGCATAAAGATTCGCTTGTCGGACCCTAAAATTGAAATCATCCCTTAAGTGATTAGCATCAAATGATCCACTAAAATAAAAGTTAAATGCTTACAAATCGTCAATAATTGGGGAGCCGTATCCCCCTCGATGACGGCATAGCCAGTTAACCGTACATCTTCCCTTTTGATGGCGTACTCCCGCCTGGTGGCCGTGGCCAGTGAAACCCGGATGAGCTGCAGTTCACCAGTGGCCTTCGTCTCCTCAAAATAGGTGAGCACCTGCTGGCCCTGGGCCATGGTGTAAATAGTTGGCTTGCTGATGACTTTGCTGGCTGCCAGAGCCAGTTGCGAGGCCGTATCTTCTTTCTGATCCTTACGTGAAGCCAGTGCCTGAGATAGAGTCTGGCAGTCGCCATCGCTGAAGAGGACTAAAGCTTCCTGGTTAGTTTCCACCAAATGAGCAATACTTTTCTGAAACTGTTAAAATGTAGGGGTTTTAGTTATAATATTTGACTGACTTTCACATCCATCAAACCTTCAGTTTCTTGCACTTGGACACATCGCCGGTATCCACATCCCAAAGGCGCAAAGAGTGATTTCCAAAGACTCCCACGTAGTTTTGACTGCTGGGATCGTATATAACCTTTGACGACAGCTTCTCTGGAAGGGACCAACTGAACAACTGCGTTTGTGTCCTTATCTGCAAAGGATTTCATATAAATTTAAGGAACATTGGCTTAGTTTACGAATAAACGTTACATTCAAAACCACGACCACATTGCGTGCCAGTGTGGTCACCACGTTGCCCTTTTCTTTGTCCGAGGACATTCCCAAAAACTCCTTGGGATCCGGTATCGGAAAAAGGTTATAATAAGAGAGAAACTTGGACATATTTTTAATTTTATTTGATAAACTAAATTGAAAACAAATTACAACACGTGAAAAGTCCAGAACAGTGTGACCGTTCTCGTACCGCTAAATAAACCATGACTACAATTATAAAAATTTACCATTTAAATACCATACCATTCAAAATGCAGCGGTTTTATAGGCCATTCACACTAAAAGCGTAAAGATGTAATTAGGTTTTCAACATTGGTTTGAATAGTAGTTTATTTATTATTAATGATTTTTTCCGTTTTAAGGCGTGCTCAGTTTTTCAATTGTTTTATACTCTAAAGTACTTTTTCAACGCGTTTGCAAATTTTAAGTAATTCAACAAAAATTAACGATTTATTATAATGCCCAAGTTCATTAATTTCATTTCTTCGACGATAAATTCTGGTATTGTCAATTGAACGTTAATAGACCAATAAGTCAATTTTTTTGTTTGCATATTATCTAAATTTTATGTGATAACACTATTTACATGTTTTGTTTCCTGAAAAGTGGGAGAACCTCTCTGGCGTTTTTAAAAATAAATACGAAAGAAACTGGCACAGTGAAAACCGGAACACCACTGTCTGTTTTGTCTGAGCTGTCTGAGCCAAAATATCGAGAATACCTGGTTTTAATCGAAATCGGTGTCCCTGGTCCGCCACGTGCTATCGATAAAGTGCATTTGCTAGAAGAAGAAGAAGATGGGTGGAAAGACAAAACAAGCGCCGCGAACTAAAAATAATGCAAAAGTAAGGCGTAATTTAACCGAATTTTTCATTCAAGGATGCACTAATACCTCAACCCTTTTAGCCGTCGAGCAGCAGTCGGACTGCGGAGCTGCTGGGAACCACGCCAATCTTCGTGGGCTTCTCGGCGCAAGCGGATGGCGGTGGCCTGGTGCCGTTCGCTCCGGGATTCGCCAGCGCCGAGCAGATGCCGGACAGCTTCGACGCGGCCATCAGTCCGCAGACGCAGATCATCCTTCGCAAACTTTCTAAGAAGGACCCGATGACCAAGAAGAAGGCGCTGCATGAACTCCAGGAACTCATCGAGCAGTCTGACGTGGAGACCTTGAAGAGCATTCTGCCCCTGTGGCCCAAGTACTACTTGAGTCTGGCCAGTGACCCCGAGCACAATGTCCGGGAGCTGACGCAGACGGTGCTGCAGCTGCTCATGGCCAAGTGCAAGAAGGCTATGGCCCCATACCTCAAGTTGCTGGTTCCCGTCTGGTTAGGCAGTCGCTTCGATACCTACGCTCCGGCCGCCAGCATTGCGGGCCAATCTTTTAGGGAGACCTTCGCCGGCAGTGCGAATCGCACCAGGGAAGTGTGCATGCACTGCCAGCTGGAGATCTTGGAGTACGTCACCCGCAATCTTACCTTTCACACCGCAGCAACGCTCTCCATCGGGAAGAGTCTCACGACAGAGGAGGCGGAACAGAAGTACCAGCGTGTTGTTATCAGCAGCATGAAGGTTTTGTCCTTCTTCCTGGAACAAACGGCACAGACGGAGGACCTCAGCCAAGTAAAGGAGGGATTCAGCACGCTGGTGGCGCACCAAAAATTCTGGAGCTTTGCAAAGCACAAAATACCGGCCATAAAGTAATTACCTCACAACGAACTGCTTTTAAATAGAAACTTACAAGCTTTTGTTTTGTTTTCCATACAGAGCAGCTTGGTTTGAGTGCATCTACCATGTCCTGTCGTCGGTTGCCCTTTTGGATGTGATATCTCCGCAAAAGGCGCAGTTGATTACGCTCTGCTTCCAGTTCATAGACGACGCCGACCCTGTGGTAGCTCCTCACATTTGGGGCTGCATCTTGCTCCTTCAAAATAACTACGAGGATTGGTAAGATAATACCTTAAATATATCTGATTGGCCTTAGTTTACTAACTTATCCCTATTCGGTAACCAGGTTCGTTCCCCTCAACATTCGGAAAGCCCTCCTTCCAAAACTGTCGTCTCTGCTTCGGAATGGTTTCAATCGCAATGCCCAGGCCATCTGTCCAAACATCCTACCGTTTCTGTCCAAGATAACACCTACTGCCCTACAGGATCTAGATATTTACGAGTTTTATCAACGCTTTTTTGACGACATAAAGCTGGCCGTTACTGGCAAGTTCGATCCTCCACTTTCCAAGTCGGATTGTACAGTAGTCCACAATACCTATTTCGAGTGCTTGCGATTCCTGATCCAGCAGATCAACAACTGCAAGAAGCGAGAGCCGAGAGAGCAGGAATTCGCTGAGGGATTGCTCCAAAACAATGTACTCGAACCCATTGGCTGGCTGTTGAAAAGCGAGAGCGCACATGTGAAAAACTTCTTCCAGCACAGCTCAGCGCTGGTTGCCTTCTGGGACAGACAGATCAACAATGGCCTGGACAATGGTGGGCTTTACGCCAAGTTGCTCAATCAGTTCTGGACGCGCATCTTTGAATTGGTCACCCAGGATCTGGCGGCTGAGGAGGTGAACGAGCAGCTACTCTCGCATGTCTTGCTTCTCGTGCACGATCTGCACATGGCCAATCCTAGCCTAGAGTCTCCTAGTGTAAAGTTTGTGGAGGAACTGGAAGGAAAGGTAGAGAAAAGTGAGCCTACCACACCGGTGAAAAAGGCTCAGGAAGCAGCAGCGTTTATACAGAAGGAACTGAAGCAATTGGTTGTGAAGCTTGTGCGGATCTGCCTGGACAAAGCCAGTGGCAGTTCTTCCTCTCGTTATGTTGAGCAAATTCGCACTCTTACGAAAATGTTTATGGATGTCCCGTTCTACAAGAGTCTAACAGATCGCGGGGACCTACATGGAGCGCTCGATAAATTTGTTTCCCTGCTGGATTCCTTAAATGACGAGGCCCGCGAATCAGTTGTTGAGATCGTTTTTGAAATTCTGCTTCTATTAGAACCAGAACAGCGTTTTGAATATATTGAAAACACTCTGTTAAAGGTAAGAACAAAGGCCTTTTAGTAACAAGATGAATAACGTCAACGAGCCAGATAGCTAGACGTTAAATGAGGCGCTTGTCGCTTGCATATGAGAAATCTAATGTAGGGCGTTGTTTATCTTGTTATTATCAGTTAATTGGTAAGAAAATATATTTTGGGAGAATGGAATGTATTTCAAAATGTGTGCTCTTAATTCTTAAATTTCATTAAATAAATTGTTTAAATATTTTTTTTTACAGCTTCAACAGCATCGAGTACAGAGCCTTCTGCTTCATCGCCTGCTTTCCTATCCTCTTTGCCGGGAGCCCGCCGTAAGACAGATGCTCAGTTGTTCGGATACTGGTAGCGTGATTGCTCGGATAGCCGACGAGGTTGTGGTTGATAATGATCGGGAAAAGCTAAACCTTCTGCATAAGTGCTTCTTCCAAACGGACACCGGAGATATACTCATCAATGCTGAGACTGTGGATAAAATACTGCTGGCCATGTGCGGTCCTCTAGAGCAGCCGGAACTGGTCGATGACATGGTGGAAGTGTGTGGAAGCTTTATTGCCCAAATAATGCCTGTGATTTGCAGCAACGAAAACTCGTCGCTGGGTGTGCGTCAGCAGATCTTCCTTACGCTGTTCAAGTTTAGCTTGCAGCATCGGCCGGAGGAGTATTTATCAGAGGACACTCTCTGGGAGATAACCACGTGCTGGCAGGATGCGCTGTCCAGTAAAGATATTGAAGTCGATAGTGATACGCTAAAAAGTTGTGCCGGCATAGTTGAGGACTTGGCAAGGACCGCCGATTTGAAGGCCGATAATCTCGATGGAATGGCAGAGGCGATGGCCAAGTTTGTTATTTGCTCCACCGAAAATATTGAGGATGAGGAGAAGCGATTGACTCGCATAGATGAAACCATAGAAGCTCTTCTCGAATCTCCTCTGAAAACGGGCGAAAAGGTAAAGCAGTTTGAGAATCACTGCGTTCTCTTGGACGCTCTAAAAGGATCTGTCAGTGCAGGAGTTCCCTTCGAGAGTGCTTCATTCGAGATCAATGAAATCCTCCCGCTGCTCCAACGTTCCACGCTTAACTTCTTTACACTGTACAAACTGGTCTATCAATTCCCTCCACCTCAAACGACAAACGATCCCGAAGATGAGCTAACCGAGGACTACTGCGATCCAAACGCCGATGTTCTCACAAAATGGAGTGAGTCCTTGATTGCCGAACTCCTCCAGTGTATTCGAGTAGCTGGCACTGCAGAGAGTTGGCTGGAAGTGTCCGAGTTAGAGGCTTCATTGCAGGAATTGGTGCTGGTCTTATCGGAGAAGGTCAAGAGCTTTATGGGCAACAGTAGTGAGCTAGTTGACATAGTAAAAGAGCGCCTCCAACTGTCGGCCACTCAGCAAGACAGTGTAATTAGCTGCCGTCTTCTAAGCTACCTTACCTTCTGTCCCCAATACGCGGCCTTCGAGGAGAGCGCGACAATTCTGCTTCATGAGGCTCTCGCCGAATCGTTGGTTTCCCAAGGAGCTCACAAATCGTACACAATGGCACTGCAGGTGAGAGCTCTTGGGATATGCTAGAGAATTTTTTGATTTCCATTACGGCATGCCGACATTGATTTTGGTTTTTTTTCCAGTATCTCTTGCCAAGGCTTTCGCAGAGAGCCCTCAGTCTCAACTCAGCTATAATGCGAACAGAACCACCTGAGATTTGGGTGAAGGCCGCTGTATTCCATGCCCTACTCCTTAACAATTTCGAGGCTGAGGTCAACGAAAAGACGGATCGAAATATCATTGTATCGGCGGTGCAGTTCATGACCAGCATTGGAGAAAAGCAAGCCACCCAGAAGGATTTGCTCCACTACAATGTGTAAGAATGTTAACCCAAATAACTTTGATGCCATGCTTATTTCATGATTAATTTTTAGGGAGTTACCAAAGCAGCCGTTTGAATCGGTTATAAATACTGTGGAGTTTATCAAACTTCTAACTGAAGTTCTCAAACGGTTCCCTTACGAGCTGAGTATCAAAAATTGGGATGCCATTCGCATTGGTCTGAGTTCTTGGGTTCTCACTGTTTCCAAATCTATAGCTCAATTTGATGACCCAAAGGTTTGTTGTTAAGGATTATAATTGAAATATTTATCACTACTTTATTTTCCCTTCAAGACTTGCCTATTCGTAGTGGCTGTGTATCAATTGTTTGGAGCGCTGATCGAATTTATTCGATCAGAGAAGCAAAAGAGTTCAACGGAATTACTTAAGAATGTGATCGACGAATGGGACTCTCTGTTTGCCAAGGAAGTCAGTGTGGTGCTTTTTAAGGCTTACTATCAATTGACCCACGAGGCTAGTGTGGAACCAGGCTTCCAGGCCTGCTACGAGGCAATGTTGGAGAGTCTGACGCCGGCCTTAGAGCTGCTGGACTACACCTTTGTTTATGGGGTAAGTGAATTGCTATACATAAATCCAACCATTCTGACTCTCTTACTTCCAGTTCTGTAAATCAAACAGCCAAATCACCCTGGACCATCTCTGCAATTTCCTCTTCAAGCAGCTCTACAGCTCCCAGCACTCGGTTCGACTGGGTGCAGTGAATGCTCTGCGCCAGTTAACGCCGCACTTTGTGGCCGACGATATTGAACTGAATGAGAAGCAAAGCGAAAGCCTAAGTGCCACCATCACAAAGTGGCACTTCCTCAACAGATTCGAAGACTACTTGACACGCTACGATGCCTTGATACGAAAGTACCTGGATGAGTTCACTTTCAAATTGACCGAGCTGGAGGATCTCGAGCCCATTGACAGACACGATGCGCTGAGTTACCTTTTCCTATGGGACTGCATCATCAATGCGTGTGCCAAGTCTCCAGTTGCCCTGAGAGCCGTTTACACCAATTGGCTAAATGATAACAAATACGAAGAGGTACTAAAACTGTACTTATGATTTGGGTTCGCACTATAAAATTTCGTCGACATATTACAGAATTTTCTACACTTCCTTTTCCGCGCCATGCCAGTCGACATTCTGAAAAATCACGGGAACAAGGTACACAGCAACGGCGTCTACAAAGAGCTCACTTGGCTTCAAATGAAGGGTAAGTTCACTACGCCTTAGTTACTGGTCCTCCGATAAGTCATCGGCAGCATTGAGGACATCGGGAAGATAATCCTCGCCATACTCATAGTCACCATATTCTGGCTCTGTATCGTCAACCATCTCTTCGACGCCCAGTTCTTCGCTTAGCGAAATGTAATCCGACAAGGGAACGAATTGTTCGGGATCGTTGTAGGCAATCATCGGGCGTTGCTCGGGCGCCTGTTGTTGCGGCGTCAGGTAAATGTTCAGGTTCGATATGAACTTGTTGATCCAAACGGTCAGATTGTTAGCGAGGATCCGTTGATATTCTCGCAAGTTACTTGTCGTGTAGAACTCTTGATCTGTCGAGGATATTAAGGACATAAGCAAGTGACATTAAACTGGGGATCTCCTCTGGAATAATACTTGCCTGTAAATTCTCTAAGCCTTTCAAGTATGATACAGCAAAGGGGCGAGTTCTCGTCTACTATGAACTGATCGTTAAGCAGGAAGTCCTTCATTTCCTCAAAAAGAACGCAAATGATTTTCTGCATTTGTTTCTGCTGGCGCTGCAGGATGCGTTTCTTGAGGCCCTTGCAGCGTCGCTTATGCACACGCTTGGCCGCTCTGCGTTGTCGGATCTCCTCCTCCATGTACTCCAAAGCCCTCTCCATGGTCATGGCCTCCACCGGTGGTTTGGGCTTCATCTGGTTCTCCAGAGCGGCAATGTGGCGCGGCGACAGGTAGTCCTTAAAGTATTTGAACGTGTCGCTCACTCGCATCGGATGCGGATCGGCCAGACGTTCCACGCGGGCTGTGCACTGATTGACGACGATCTTCTTTGTGTAGTAACGCGGGCGCTGCGCCCCCGGCGCCAATTGTGGCGACATGAAGTCCTTCTTTGGGGTGGCTAGGAAGCAGATATGCTCCTTCCGCGACAGTACGTCCCTGTCGATGATGATCTGGCCCGTAGGCTCACTAGGCACATAGCAGGGTTGGTAGCGTGGGCAAACGCAAATAAACCTGTCGGTCATAAAAATGTTTCGAATACATTAGCGTAACATTCTAATTTACCAAGATCTCTTTGAAGCGAATTAAACTCCGCTTAAGAAAATCTATTGATATCTTTAGAAACTTTGGATTAGTAATGCATATATAAACTTCCGTATATATCTGCTATCTTTGGTGTAACCTTTAAAGAATGTCTTGGAGTAGTCCCTAGAAGCACTTACCTATACAGGCCTTGCATCTCCTTGGCTGGGTACTTTACCAGGCGGCGAATGCGCTTAGCTTTCGACTCACGCACGTGGACCATGGCCAGGCGCGCATTGAGCTCATCCGCCACCGTGGGCCCCTCCGCTGTGGATGGATCCACCGGTTTGTGCTCCGTTCGTACCTCGCATTGCGTCTTTAGGAAGTTGATTGCCTCAGCAACCGTGGCCTTTTCGCCTTTCAGCTGCATGCGTTTCGACGGCGGCACTTCGGAAATTTCTTCGTTGAAATTAAATGGCTTTGCGGAAGCCATGATTGTCAATGGAATGGAATGCAAATCCGAAAATAGAGAAAAGCAGTATACGAAGTGAACGTTTACGGACGATCGAACACACTACTTTTCTCTTTATAGACACTGCTAGAAAATGAAGTACAGCTTGACGTGGCTTGCCTTGATCTGATCAATCTCTATGTCGCTCTATTACAATTGCAGATCGAAAGCTGTCACTGGAGCGATATGTTTGTCACCTGTACACGGAGGTGCTACGCAAGCTGCCTGCCGTGGTGCGCAGATGGTGGAATGCTACACAGTCCAGGCAGAAGAACTTTGTGGATAACCTTACCACCAACTACGTGAGCTCGCTGATCTGCAGCGAGGAGCTCAAGGCTATCGCCAATCGGAAGGAGAAGCACGAGAATATGCAGGTGAGTGAGTGATGGTGCAGAGACTGCAGGCTTTACTTGATTCCTTAATCGACCTAACTAATGCCAGTGCGAAGCGAAAACACAGTTATGATGCTGATTAGCAGGAAAATGACGACAAAAAGACGAAAAAGCTCAAGAGCCAACATGGTACTCTTGACCAGGCTCAATTCTTTCGCTTAGAAAAAACGCACTTGTTTTTTCATTTTTAACCTGAAGGAACCCAGGCTACTGGGTTCTAGTCTAAATCACTATACACAGATACCGCGATATCATCATCGTTTCATTTTTAATCCATAGGTCACCGTTCACTCTTCCACCAGAGAAGTGCTTGCGGTCTATGCTATCGATGAGGCCCGCATGGAGCTGGTCATTACTCTGGCTCCCAACTATCCCTTGGGGGCCGTGAAGGTGGAGTGCGGCAAGCAGATCGGTGGCCGGTCCTCATCCCGAAATGTGGGCATGCAGCTGACTATCTTTCTTACGCATCAGGTACGTGAATAACGCTACTAAAACTAAAAACTCAACATGTTATTCAAATATATTTTCCTCTATCTTGTTTGATTTAGAATGGCACTATCTACGATGGGCTAACGATGTGGAAAAACAATCTGGACAAGAAGTTTGAGGGCGTGGAAGAGTGTTATGTGTGTTATACCGTCATCCACCAGGATACTTGCCAGTTGCCAAAGCTTACGTGCAAGACCTGCAAAAAGAAATTCCATGGACCGTGCTTGGTAAGCGGTTTTGAACACGTTTCCGCAATCTTATATTTTTACAAATCTTCTTGCTTTCAGTATAAATGGTTCACCACCAGCAGCAAGTCCACATGTCCCATTTGTCGCAACGTCTTCTAAATGGAATCTATCCAGTCCTGAGCAGACAACACGTATTAAATGAAGGCACAACCAAATCCATTCGATGTAGACAATAGCTTCTGGTCTCTTTTCAAAATGTTAATCCGCAATAGCAATAAATTCATGTAATGTTTCAATGTATTTGATCATGTGTTAAGTGAGGGGACTTTAAAATTGTTTGTAAATAATTTGTAAATTAAAGTTAGAATTGAAGAAATTATAAAACAGAATGAGATTTAATGGAAGTACAAAAATTACAGATATATGAAGATTAATACAGAAAATATGATAATATTGTTGACTTTTCGGCAAGTATATGACAGAAAGTAACGATATGTTGATATTTTTACGAATATCGGTTCAATAAATCAATCAAAATATTTATTTATTATTCATATATATTTAAATATTAAATGCGATATATTTCGTTATTTAAGAACTCGATAAATCAAAGATTCGATAATTATTGTATTTTAGATATTTCTCACTATATAAATTCCGAAGCGGAAGCTTTATTTTAAGTAGGACTTGGGTTCGGGAAGACTCCCAAGCGTTGCCGATGCTCTAAATCCTTAATTTATAACGTAATTTATTTAATTTATAAACATAATCAACGGCTTGAAGTCAAGTAAAATCAAATTCCTATAGGCCGGTCACCATCTGAACTTTCAACCCCTTGACCCCATCGAAAATGAGCCCACTTCTGGCGCCTGCGCCTCGGGAAATAATTTCCTCGGGGTGGGGCCCGCAACACATGATGACTCGCCCTCGCCTTTGCCATCGCATCGGTTTTGCTCAGTTGTGCAGTTTTGCAAGCTGCTAACTGGGATTACACACGCCATCGGCTCATCCAACTGGACTGTATGTCAGGTGCACAAAATGACGTAAGACACGCGTTTTAGATGATGAGCCCCCGGGAACCGAAACTTGGCCAGCGCGTTGAGGTAACGGGTAAACATCTGCAAGGTAAGGTCGCCTATGTGGGACGCACTAACTTCGCCGCCGGCCTCTGGTACGGCGTGATTCTGGACGAGCCGCTGGGCAAGAATAATGGTAGCATCCATGGCAATGTATACTTCAAGTGCCCCACCAACTGCGGTCTGTTTGTGCGTGCCCAGCAGCTGGTGAGGATTGCGGAGTTGCCCAAAGGAGCGGATAATCAAAAAGCCGATGAAATGCAACGTGAGGGGGCCCGAGCGAAACTCACGAGGCGGAGTGGTGGGGCGAAGTCCGTGGAGGAGCATGTGAGTAATGCCAAGGGAAAGGTCAAAGTGGGATGTAAATGTATATACTACTGCTGTTATTCCTGCAGGATAACCAGAGGGATCCGATGGCCGGACCTAGTGGCAAAGCGAAGGGAGCTCCCTCAAGTCCAGCGTCACCGCAGCACCGGACCAGAAATACTCACTCTCCCCGAGATCAGACATTGGCCAAGACTTCTGGGAAGTTTTTGGTAGCTCAGCAGCAACCCCTACAGCTTCCAAAGGTGACTTAAAACACATTGTAATTAGGTTAATGGGAACAAGTAGAACTTAAGAACATGGCTTCTTCTTAGCTGTTTTAATCACAATTAAATAAATATGATATGCTAAATAATTATTTTTCCCTTGCAGAACTCAAGTGTGCCTGAAGTTGAACATCAGAAAGCGCAGGTCGTGGAAGAAGTAAAAGGTTCTTCTAAAAATGCATCAGCTTTACTGCAATCTAAGGAGCTTCCCAGGCAGATGGAGTCCCAGGATCCCACTGAATCTGTAAAAATGGATAGCGACCCGGTTAAAAATCCGGAAGAAGCACAGCAAGCGAGGGATGCAGCCAAGCGAGAGTCTACCGATCCGCTCCAGACCAGCACAATTGGAGAGTTGCAGGCCCAGCAGCGGGCTGCAAAGCAACTCACACCGCCAGCAATGACCTGCAACCAGCGGCGATCCACGTCGTACACGCAGCTAAGACCGACTAGGATCAGCCAACCAAAGCCAACCACAGCTCAGGCTCAGAACTCAACGGCGCAGTTGACATTGGCCATGCCGGTGCCCCTGGCCTTGGCCCCGAAACGGAGCAAGACGAGCATGAGTCCGACGAGTTGTGTGAAACGAGCAGCGCCTGCTGCCTTTGTGGAACCGGGTTTCCTGGAGATTCTGCGGCCGCAGTTCACCCCGGGACCTGCTCTACGAACACCCAGCACAGCAGCTCCTCCGGTTGACAATCCGGAACTCCGGCAATTGAGGGAGGAACTTCAGTTACTGAGAGTTCAAAAGAGCGAAGACAAACTAAAGCTACTGGAGCTGGAGCGGATGAGGATTCATAACGAGCAACTCATGGAGTTTAAGTCACAGATAATGACTCAGCAGGTGCTGCTGCAAAGGGAGCTCCAAAGGTCTCGGAACGAACTACGGGAAGCTCAGGACGTTTCCTCCAAATTCAAAAGGGAGCTAGATGAAATAGCCGAGAGCATCGAGCTGCTCACCCTGGACAAGGAAATGGCGGAGGAACGGATGGAGACTCTGCAAATGGAACTGGAGATGGCACAAGAGCGGAATGACGAACTTAGCTTGGACGTGGAGATCCTGAAAGCTGAGCAGGAGGAGCAGATGGGTCAGCGCATTGAAAAGAATGAGAAGCAAGTGGGAATTGGTGGAACACCACAATCCGCCGGCGAGTTCCTTCGGCTAGAACAGTACAATCAACGGCTCCGGGAAACGGTGGTTCGGCTAAGGGACACTCTCGCCCAGGAGAAGCAAAGCAGTCAACGCACGCACAAGGAACTGGAGACCAAGCACTCGGAGATCAACGAACTAAAGAATATCAAGGAGTTGCTCAGCAGAAGGGTGGACCACATGGAGGTGCAGCTGATGGATTTGAAAGAACAAGTGGACGCTTCTCTGGGAGCAGAGTCCATGGTCACGCAACTGGCTTGCCTGAAACTGGAGCTGGAAGATCGTGTCAAGCTGCTGGAGGACGAAGTTTACGAGCTAGAGGCCTTGGAACAAATCCAAGAGCAACTTATTGAAAGTAACCAGGAGCAGGAAAATGATTTGCGCGAGGAGATCGATAAGCTGGCTGGTCAGGTGAAGATTCTGGAGCAGCAGAAGAACGCAGCCATGGAGAGCCTCTACGATCGCGACGTGACCATCATGAAATTCCGTGACCTGGTTAGGCAACTTCAAGAGCAACTCCAAGTCCGAGCAGATGGGACTCTGTCCATCGAGGATTTTAGCAGTGCCAACGAGTCGCAGCAGGAGGAGGCCTCCAATCAGAGCCAGACGGATTACCAGCACATCTTCAGTGTGAGTAAGGCGTATGGCCGGGCTCTGGAGCAGCAGATTAAGGCTGTGGAGCTGAGGCTTCAGTGCCAGCACTTGGAGTATGTCCTCGCCTTCGTTCCCGAGCAGTTCCTCTTGCGGGGAGGAGAGCATGATGTGGTGCTGGTCATGCTTCTCCTGGAACGGATGAACGAGAAACTGACCATTGTGTGTCAGGCCATCAACGAAAAGTTTCCCGCGGCCTGCGAATTCGGTGAGGGTTCTTTATCTACATTTATTTCGCAAATTTTATTTTCATTTTCTATATAATATTATATCTTCTTGCCACAGGGCGCGATGCCATATTTGAGGGCTACTCCGTGCAGCGGTATATCTTCCGGTCGCAGTGCCTGTACCTGCTGAAGAGCCTCCAATTGGTTCTCCAGCAGTTCCGCCATGGACTCAACCATTGCGACTACGAGCTGTGCACCCATGCGGCCATTTACCGAAGTGACCTGGAAGCCCAGGAGCAGCAGCTGGATGAGTTCGTGCGCCTTCTGAAAACGGGACAACTGGATGAGCACACAAACTGCGAGCCCATCCAGAGGGTTCTTCACTATGTGAGTGGGTTGCACCAGAACCTAATGCCGCCTCAAACGTTGGTGGAGCTCCTGGACGAGCAGCAGCTGTATGGAACCCTCATTGAGGTGTACGAAGCAGGGTTGGATGCTGTGAATGCCAACGCAGGTCTGATGCACACCATCATCCAGCTGGGAGACGAGCAGACCGCCTCCTTCCATTGCATGCAGCTGCTGATGGAGACGAGCTGTGCCCATAAGCAGAAACTGAAGAAGCTGCAGAGGAAGCTGAGTAGCAGTAAGACGGCTTCGTGGACGGGAATGCAGTGTGCCAGGTACCAACGAATCCTGGAGGCCAATGAAGCGCTAGGTGCACTTATCAGATTGCTGGGCTCCACTGCTCGGGAGGCGAGCAAGGATTCCAACGGCGGTGTAGCCCACGAGAAGCTGTGGAGGGTGCTGGTGCTCAACTACAATAAGTTCGCTCCTGCCTGCCAGGAGGCGGAGGAGCCCAAGGAGGTGGATGCCTATAGTCAGAGGTGCATGCAACTCCTGGAAGAGCAGCTGGACGAGCTTTTTGCACTCCTAGAATCCACGGATGTGAACACGGAGTATGTGCGTCATCCGGTAAGCAACACATTGCAGGAACGAGCTGCCCAAGTGAAGCGCCACTACGAGGACGTGAAAACTCTTGAGCTGACCGTTGGGGAGCGGGACAAGGAAATTAAGAGCCTCAAGTACATGGCCAAGATGAAGATGCAGGACTTCTCCGAGCTGCAGATCCGCAAGGAGATGGCCGAGAAGCAGCTCAGCAAGCAATGCCATGTGCTCGCCGGATTCGCAGAGGCTGTGGAGCACCTGGAGCAGTCCATTCTGGCCAAGGAGGCTGCCCTGGGACAGGCCTTGACCATACTGGCCGATAAGATCTCAATTCTGGAGCAGGCGCAGCAGACCTGGCGGGAGCAGCAGCAGGCGGATAGTGCCTGTGTGACCAGCACTGCGATTAGTTCCAACCGGGAGATGACCATGTTGCACCAGGCTCTCCGTCAGGAGCGTTCACTGCGCGTGCAGCTGCAGGGCAGCGAAATGAGAAAGACATTTGCCGCCTTGGAACCGCTGCATGTGCCCCAGAGGGGAAGTCAGGAGCTGACCAACCTGGAGAAGGACCTGCGCTCCCTGAAGAACCAGTGGCTGCTGGCCCATCTTGACATGGGAGGGGCGGGAAGTCAGCGGCGCTTGGAGATCGAGCTGCAGGGCAGCCGCATCCTGCGACATATCTTCCAGACATATTGCACCCAGCATCCGCATCGGGCCAAGAGCACAGACTTTGGGCTATTCATAAGCGACGATCTGCGGCTGGCATTCAGTCCGGGTTTCTAGTTCACATTAGTTAGTGTGTTTCGGTCATAACAAACGTATTTGTGATTCGCTGCTTGCATATAGTATGAAATTCTATCTATAATTATTTGTACAATATTAGCTATTATATACATAAACTCCTATATATACATATATATGCAAAACTGTACAATTCTATAGTTCATGTCGTGTTTATCGGGCAATAAACCAACTTACTTGACTTAGACAAATTAGAGGAAATGTCTTTTATTCATCAAATGTTACTTCAAACCGCTGAAATCAAATAAAGTGATGGATCAGTGATTCAATTAATCTCGTTGTCGAGCATCCTCGACTGTGGCGTTCTTAAATGTCGTTTATTTGAATTTAAAACACTTTACAAGGTATACCAATATGCAATCCATTATGTACAATATTCGGAAAGTAGTCGGGGTCGCGCAGTTTGAGATGAGAGCAGCGCAAGCAGAAACGCTTATCACATGAGCACAGAATCGGGGATCCAAAATGTGAGGGGAAGGATGTATGTATGTATATAGTTGGTGGTTGGATATCTGCATATGTTACATTATATCATGGCGGCCGTGTGACATCTTGGTTGTGGTGCATCGTTGTCGTTGAGGGGATTTACATAAATACGTTTAATGTTTAATGAGAAGAAGGTTGTGGATTTGAGGCTATTTACAGTTGCAGAACGAACCAAACAATTGCGACCTGTGTGGAGCTAAATGGGATAGATATAATGGATAATAATGAATTAATATAAATGAAATTGATAAAAATAGAAAAAATAATGATTTAACCACAACAACCAACTATGGTTCAACAAATTCCTAATTCTATTCATTAATTCATTCATTTATTTTACCCCTTAGAGTATATTAAATGTAATTGTAAGTTATTATTTTACTTTAGCCAGACACCTTTTAAGTGGTTTTGAACGTACACACAGGCAATGGCACATGACATAGATTAATTTCTTAAAACTATTGTATTACTTATTTATTATATAAATGTATAAAGGTATTTTTAATTTGTTTATATACCTTTGGTATTATTGATTTTAATTTTTATTTTGTAATTCCCTTACTGAAATAAAAACTAACACTATGCTAAACGAGAAATCAAGATCTTAGAGCAGGAAATCCTTCAGATACATTAAAAGAAATCTTTTGTTTTTTGTTCTTAGTTAGTATTATAATATTTCCCTGTTAAATATTGAATAGTTAAACCTATGAATGCTGTTAAAATATAAATGAATCCTAAAATCGAGAGGTAAAATTTATTATAATATCCGGGTCTAAATATTTTAATATGGCTCTGTCCCAATACTAAAGATCTTTGGAATAAATTTAAATTAATACATGTGCCACTTAAAAATAAATGTAATCTTAGCTGACAAAATTGTTTTCAAGAACTGCTGATGATTGTAAGAGTAACTTATATTTAAATATTTAGTAAATATTATATTTGACTTTAAAATACTCTGGATTTAACATAAGAAAGTGGTTTTGGGAACTGTCAATAAAAGGTTATTTGATTCTTAAGGACCTTAATACTGTGCAAACATTGAGTTGCATCTCTTTAAATTAAAATATGTTAGTTATAACTATACTTTGTTAGTTATACTAAATTAGTTTAAAAAAAGTAAATATAATTAATCTATTTGTTTTATTTTCCTTATTGAAGCAAATTGTTATAAGTCTTATAAAGAAATGCTCACCTCACGACTTGGCTGCTGCCTGACGTTTGGCCACTATTTTGCCCTGATCGCGACTGTTGATGACCTCGGCATGGAAGCCCGTCTCCCAGTCGGCGTAATACTTCACCGTGCGTACATTGCCATCGGGCTCCACCAGGGAGTACTCTCCCTTGACCACATCTCCGTCGCGCTCCTCCTTCTGGTGCTTGTTATCGCCCGTGTGGGGATCATTGACGGCGTACTCGAATGCATATCGTGGATGGGCATCCTGTGGGCCACTTTAGTATTCGAATTTATACAGGAATGGAGAAAAAATCACTTACAAAGTGCTCCAGATGCTTCTCGGGCACCACCTTCAGCAAGGCCGGCTGGGCCACTGGGGCTGACTTCAGGTAGGCGGTGGCCGCCACAGGGGCGTGGCTGGTCAGCGCCGGCACACTGGGAGCATAGCGATAGAAACCCGCCCCGAGGGGTCCAATGCCACCCACTCCGTGCGAGTATCCGCTGAGGGAGGAGTCCAGATGGGACAGCGAGGAGCTTGCTGGGGCCAGACCAGATCCATGGGTCAGCAGACCGTGATAGTTGAGGGCTGGAGACACCGCCGCGTGTCCCAGGGAAATGGCTCCATAGTAGCCGCCATCGTGACCAGCACCGTGACCCAAACTACCTGCAAGATGACACATTATAGGAATAGAATTTACAAGGAATTGTACAAGTAATATAATTTAGGAATAAAATAATGAAGGATAGCACTTACCCGCATGGATCCCGTAGGCGGTGCTGCTGGCCAGCTTACCTCCCAGGCTGTAAGCCGGAGCCGAGGTCAACTTGGTCAGAGGAGCACCCAGCAAGGCGGCTCCATGTCCGTGTCCACTGGCCCCGTAGCTCAGACCAGCTCCCAGTCCCAGTCCAATTGGAGAAGCGATCTTTGTGATGGCAGGACCTGTGCTGTAGTGGCCCACAGCTGGGGCGGCATATGAGGCCACCTTGGCAATCGCTGGAGCGGCTGCAATGGTTGCTACAGCTGGCTTCGACACATACTGATGGGAGACAGCTCCCGAGCTATATCCGGAGCCACTTCCTCCATACCCAGTGGAGACTTTGGTGATGGCAGGACCGGTTGAGTAAGTGGCCAAAGCGGGAGCAGCGCTGATGGCGTGTCCAGTGGATATGTGGCTCACAGCTGGAGCTGCGTAGGTGGCCACCTTGGCTATAGCAGGAGCTGCTGAAATGGCCACTGCTGGCTTAGACACATACTGATGGGATACAGCTCCCGATCCACTAGCCCCGTATCCATGGCCATATCCTGTGGCTACCTTGGCAATGGCTGGAGCAGCCGAGATGCTGGAAATGGCTGGGGCGCCATAGGAGGCTATCTTCGAGAGGGCAGGTCCAGTGGAGTAGCTGGAAATGGCTGGAGCTGCATAGGTAGCCACCTTGGCTATGGCAGGAGCTGCTGAGATGGTGGCCACCGCCGGCTTCGATACGTACTGATGGGATACTGCTCCTGAGCCGCTGATTCCGTAGCCCGTGTTCAGTTGTTTAGTGGGCAAGGCGATGGCCGGAGCAGCTGGCAGGTAGGTTTTGGAGAGAACCGGAGCCGCTGGCAAGTAGGTCTTGGAGAGGACCGGAGTCACTGGCGCCACTGCAATGGCGGGCTTCGATACGTACTGATGGGACACGGCTCCATGGCCAGACCCGCCATAGCTGGTTGCGATTTTGGTGAGACTGGGTGCAGCTGAGTAGGTGGAGATGGCAGGAGCATCATAGGTGGCCACCTTGGAGATGCCTGGAGCTGTGGCATAGCTGGAGATTGCTGGAGCAGCGTAGGCAGATACCTTAGCGATGGCAGGAGCAGCTGAAATGGCCACCGCTGGCTTGGACACATACTGATGGGAGACAGCTCCTCCTGAACTGTATCCTGAGGCACTGCCTCCGTATCCGGTGGCCACCTTGGCTACCACTGGTGCTGCCGAGTAAGTGGATATGGCGGGAGCAGCATAGGTGGCTACCTTGGCGATGGCAGGAGCCGCTGAAATGGCCACTGCGGGCTTCGAAACATACTGATGGGACACGGCTCCAGATCCACTGCTGCCGTAGCTCGCTGAAATCTTGGTGACTGCCGGAGCGGAGGAGTACGTGGCCACTGCTGGCGCAGCTGCAGGATAGGCTGCCACAATAGGCTTTGAAATGTACTGGTGGGACACATCCGCGGCTTGGCTGTAGGCCACCTTGGTGACTGCAGGAGCTGCGGAGTAAGTGGACACCGCCGGAGCGGCGTAAGTGGCCACCTTGGCGACTGCAGGAGCTGTGGCATACGTTGAGATTGCAGGAGCTGCGTATGTAGCCACCTTGGCTATGGCAGGAGCAGCTGAAATGGCCACCGCCGGCTTGGACACGTACTGATGGGAGACGGCTCCATGTCCATATCCCGTCCCAATCTTGGTTACAGCTGGAGCTGTGGCATACGTGGAGATGGCGGGGGCTGCATAGGATGCTACCTTGGCAATTGCGGGAGCAGCAGAAATGGCCACCGCTGGCTTGGAAATATACTGATGGGAAACGGCGCCGTGACTGTAACCGGAACCACTGCCTCCGTATCCAGTGGCCACCTTGGCAACCACTGGAGCTGCCGAGTAAGTGGATATGGTTGGAGCTGCATAAGTGGCTACCTTGGCAATGGCAGGAGCAGCTGAAATGGCCACTGCAGGCTTGGACACATACTGATGGGACACGGCTCCTGATCCACTGACTCCGTAGCCCGATGCTACCTTAGACACCACTGGACCCGACGTATAGGTGGACACAGTGGGGGCGGCATAGGTGGCAATCTTCGAGATGGCTGGCCCAGTGGAGTAACTGGAAATTGCTGGAGCGGCATAGGTGGCCACCTTGGCTATCGCTGGTGCCGCTGAAATAGCCACTGCCGGCTTCGACACATACTGGTGCGAGATGGCTCCCGATCCAGATGCTCCGAAACTGGTGGATAGTTTGGTGACTGCCGGGGCGGATGAGTAGGTAGCCACCGCAGGGGCAGACGAGTAAGTGGCCACCGCTGGGGCGGCATAGCTGGCCACGTGGGCAACGGCCGGAGCGGGCTTTGAGACATACTGATGGGAAACGGCTCCTGAAGAATGACCCCCATAGCTGGCAGCCACCTTGGTGATCGCCGGTCCCGGAGAGTAGGCAGCTATGGCCGGAGCTGGTGCCGGGTAAGCGGCCACAATTGGCTTGGAGAAGTACTGGTGGGACACGTCCGCCGCCTGGCTGTACTTGGTTATGGAAGGAGCATAGCTGGCGGAGTATCCGGTTCCATGGGAGGACAGCAACGACGAAGTGGTGGCCAACTTAACAGCTGGAGCGGAGTAGGTGGACACCTTGGCAATCGCTGGGGCTGCATACGAAACCGATGGCGAGTAGGTGGCTATCTTGGAGATTCCAGGCGAGATCTGTCCGTAGCTATAGCCTGGGGAGCTGTAGGTTTCCACCTTCGAGTATCCTGGAGTGGCCTTGGAGTAGGCGTATCCGGGCGAGCTGTAGGTCTCCAACTTCGTGGTCACCGGTGGGGCATAAAAGGGAACGCTTGAGGGAGCCGGAGCCGTGTATGTGGCCACCTTGGATATTCCGGGAGTGGCCGAGCTGTAGCTATATCCCGGCGAGGTGTATGTGGCTACTTTGGTGATGCCCGGAGACGGTGGCAAATATGAGTTGTCCAACTTGGGAGCCGTTAGAACGGTTTTGGTGATAGCTGGCGATACCAGGTTCTTGATTTCTATCCCAGACGGCACCACGGTTGCGTACTTGGCAGCCGGGGACTTTTCCGCGTAGGTTATACCCGCTCCATACTCCGCCGAGGGTGTGAACAGAGCCTTCTGCACCGGGGCTATGTACTTATTGATCTGGGTCACTCCACCGTGAGACAATCCGTCGATGCCGGCGCTGGACTCGTAGGAGGCGCCTCCACTGCCCACCGAGGTGTGCAGAATATGTCCGTTCTCCGAGTATGTGGAAATCGCCGGGCTTTGGCTATACTTGGTCACCCCGGGCGAGATGGAGAACTTCACCTCCGCCGGCGGGGGGTACGAGTAGCCAGCAGTGGTAGCATGGACACAGGGCAGGATCGGAGGAGCCAAAGTGGGTGAGGGGTCCGCCAGCACAGCGCCAAGTACGCCCAAAAAGGCCACCAAATGAAACTAAAAAGGAAACGGTTAGGGATGTGGACCAATAATAATTACAAAGCTGATTTTTGAGGAAATATGTAGGACTAAACAGAAATTTGGAAAAATTATACATTTTCGAAATATATATGGAATATATATGGAATAATGGTAAAATATACATATATGGATAAAAAATTTGAATCTAATAAGATAATTACACTTTAAAACAGTGCAACAAACGAAAGTTATAAAAATAGAATAACGTATATTTTTAAACAAAACAAACAATATAATTTGCTATGATTAAATCCATTTAAGTTTAGAGAATAAAATACATTTAAATTGGGACCAGTTGCCATACTTATTGCATCTAAAAATAACCAAATTACAGTCTCTAAAACACCACAAAATATCCGGTGGAGTAATATTTCTATTTGAACCTATAATTGGTATGTTGACCTGTTCACTTCTCTTTACCTATTTATATTAATATCACTGTTTTTTTAGAGTAATTTGTTCTTTTTTCTATTCAATTGACAATTGGTAGATCGAAATTCGCACTTCGTTAGCCGTAATATTATATAATTTATTATATATTACCATACTATTTAAAATTTTAATTGAAATTATTTCAGAAAATCGATACTAAAAATCGATAATAAAAAGTATATTAAGACACGTATCCTCCCCTCTGCCAACCTGATATGAGTCGGAGTATATCATTAAAAAATGCTCTTGAATAGCACGGTAGTAAGGATACGTCCTGAATGGCGGATATTTGCTATTTCAAATTTAATTGATTAAAAATAAAGAATGCTTTCAGAAAATATTTCTTCTGTAAAAATTTGGCATGTCTAGAATATATAATTTATAATTATTCATTCTTTCTTTTATTAAATCACAAATTAAATTGCTGTATGTTGGTAATTTGTCTTTGTTATAAGTTTTCTGTTTTAAAATTATTCTGTCATTGATTATTTTATTGTTTTATATTAACGCTATATTATTATTTGTTTCGTATGAAATTATTTTGAATAAAAAATTCTTTAAACAGCACTAAGTATAGTTACTGGTCCGTTAATTTAAAATTTACTTTCAATTTTAATAACTTTTCTATATCTTAACAACATATAAAACTGTTGTTGTGTCCTTATTATATTTCCTAGCCACCGTTCACAGTATTTTCTAGCAGAACCCACCTTCATTATTTCACTATTCGAATTCTGCACTCTTAAGGATTGTTAAAGGATTCACAAACTATAGAGATTCTTTGTTAAGTTACACAGCATTGGCACTTTTCAAAAAAGAATTCACAAGCTGGCGATCCTTGACAGTTCGATTGGGTTTAATTCCTGTGCGTAATCCTTGGGCGACTAGATCTTTGCTGGATCTAATTTCGAGCAGCTTGAATTATCCAAAGTGCGGTTGGAAAAACGCAACGCCGATCGTATCGAAACGGATCGGATCGAATCGAATCGGATCGGATTCGGGATGTAGAGCAGAGCCACGCGGCCGACTGGACTGGACTGTTGGCCAGCCCGGCCCTATAATCGCTTATATACGTTCGGTCAGTTGGCCAACACTCGCGAAAAGCTCGCACTCGCACGCATGCGCAGCAGCCACGCACCAGTTTGGCGACAAAGCGACAAAAAAGTGCCACTATATTTGTAGCAGAAATGAAAAACCGAATCGAATCGGATCGAAAAAAATGGATCTAGCTGCAAGGAAAGAGCCGAGTGACTGCCAAAGTCGACTTTTGGCTCGTGCAGATGAAGAATCGATGACTGTTTGAGCCAGCTTTGTTCTCTCCCAACTGAAAACTGAGAACTGAAATCAGAAAACTGAAACTGCAACCTGCCCGACCTGGCCAATTGTTTGGCCCCACCTTCGCTGGCAGCCTCAGTGGGTAACGTTAACGTTTTATTAGATCATAGTCGCGAACGCCTCGGCTCAAAAATAAAACCGATCGCAAAATGCGCGTGGTGCATTGTTGGCCAAGTCTGTGTTTTTTTTCGCCACAGTTTTATTTTCAGATTTTTTATATGTATTTTGTTTTAGTTATTTTTTTGCATACTCGTATGCTTTTAAAGCGACTTAATTTGATTTAGATTTTAATCGCTGCATTGCGTGTAGCTCTGGAAAAATAAATCCATACGCAACATACGCTAGACCCCCAAGCCGAAAAAATCTGGTCAAAACTTAAGAAAAAATGGAGAGCAATGTAGAAAATAAAGCAAGAATCGTGGTATTAATGTCGCTATCAATAAATTGTGTCTGCCCATGTGTGTGAGAGTGCAGTCATGCGAGTGTATGTGGTGTGCGTGCCTTGGGCCTTGATTGTGCATTAGTTGGCTAAAAGGCGCATTGCCACATCATAATACGATACAATATGTGGCTAATAGAATAGCCGGGAGATACGGCCGAAGTGTTGACTTGTGGGCAATTAAGGTCACTATGCATCGAGTGTCACCCTCGGAGCGAGGGTGTGTGTGGATGTCAAGAAAACGGCCGACTTAATGGGCCAAGAGAGCTGATAAATCGCATGGCTGACATAACGATTTGAAGAGACAAGTCAGGGAATTCAAAGTAAATCTTATGTTTTTTGCCTTATTCTGTGATGGCAATGATTAAGTGCAGTGTTGACGCCATAATAAATATTCTTTTAATGGTTATAAGATACTTAGAGCACATTTCGAAACTTTGTGAAAGGCATAAGAAAAAAGATTCTTAACTATAGTCTTACTTAGTGGTTTAACAACAAAAACAATAAATAATTGTGCTCAGGATGAAATTTCATGTATTGCTTCAATACTTGTCCTTAATTTTATATAGTATCATATTATATAATAATAATTAGAATAATTCAAATAATAAACTTACAAAACCTAAGGATTACGAAATACCTTCAAGAGCAATTTGTTCTAACTGCGGCATGTATAACTTTCTCTTAGACAGTTTTTCATTTGATTTATATAAAGTGTTCCTCCGAAATAATAAGGCAAATACCAATAATAAATATATTTTCCTTAGGAACAACCACTCAATCAATTTCCCACAATTATATTTTCCTTTACCAGCCACCTTATGTAATAAAGCAATCCACAATCTGGCGATTACTAAACCATTTTGCCTTTTGGCCAAGTCCAGACGTCGCCCACGAACTTACTGGCCACGTCTCTGGCAGCAATTTCACACGAGGTGCGGAAAATGCTTTTCCAGTCATAAACCCAGGCCATTGGGCTACCTAAAGTCATAATTTTGTGCCTCGAAAGCGGTAGCAGTGTCTTATCCTGCAGCTTTTGCCGTTCCATCGACTGCCCCGCTGGCATCACGCATACGCCATGTTGTGCGCCAGCCAAGCCCGTCGGCCTTTCTTAAAACTACACGCAATATTTGCACTCTAGTTAGCATTAACTAAAACTGGTTCGAGATACAGGCAAATATTTTTCTGGGCTTGTAACTCGGACTCTCGTAGAATTCTTGGGCGAGATCGGCAGATTGCAGAGACATAAAATTGGTGATTTTATAAAAAAATATGTACACATGGGGTTTGTGTATAAATAAAATTGTTTACGCATGGCGATATTGAATGAGCGACAAACCATCTAGATATAGGATTCGCCGCGATACAAAGTTAAATGTAAATGATCTAGTCGGGGCGAAAATCAAGATTTTTCAATTAAAATCCCGCGGGGGAGGCTGGCGCTTTGATTTCGTCATGATGCTAAGTAGGCATGGTCGTGGGGCAGCCATGGCCAGCTGTAAGCTGGAGCTGGAGCTGGAGCTGCTCGCTGGATCTGTATCTGTATCTGTATCCATATCCATGGAGCTGGCTGCAGATCGTTTCGTTTCGCCAAAACTTACGCAACCCGCGAGACCTGTGCGCGTGCGCATGCGTGTGTGTGACAAATGCGTGGCGCGGCGAACTAAACTCGTCCGGCGATCAGCCTGAAGTAGGTTAAAATCGGCGCAGCTGACTTTTCGGCTTGCGTTTGCAAATGTTGAAAAATTAAAATTCAATCAAATTGCGAAAACTGTTCGCGAAAAGCCCAAAAATCAACGAAAAAGGCTGCCCGACAGCCCGAAACATGTTTCATGTTCAATTAACAGCAGCGCAGGCAGTCCCGTTCCCCATCCAAGTCGGGAAATGTACGGGAAAAGTTGGGAACACTTTCGGACTTAAGGCTTCTGCTGGCTTTTCCGATAGAAATCGCATCATGCAACACCCCATGGCCGGTGCTTAATTGGCCCGCAAGGTTTATCGGCTGCCACCAGCTCTCGATCTGGATCGGCATTCTTTTCCAACCCCAAAGCGATTGCGTGTCGTGGTCTTTGGACTTTTTGCTCTTTTTTCTGGTCTGGGCTTCTAATTGAAATGTCAACGCGTATGCTGCTCAATCAATTTTCCAGCCAGCCATTTATGGTTGGTTTTATTTCGGCAAAACTTCGCCTAGATTTCACATCGCTAATCGTCTGGCCAGGACTGTGTGTCTGCCTTTTTTCCAGCTGGGTGTTTTTAATTGATTTGCCCGGCATGCGGTGTCGATCGCCAAGTCAGGGACAATGTGGCGGCGATGGCTGATGGCTGCCACTGGCATCGAGTGGCAGACTTCAAGACTTCAGACTCAACGGACAGCTAATTAAATGCGGTCATAAGGAGCGATTAAATGACATCAGGTGGCAAGGGGACATGCTATTTAATTAGGACCATCGGGACTTCCATTTTGAGTACAATTTACAATTTAAAACCACTTTTTGAAACAATACATTTGGTAACAAGTAATGGTTATAACTAGAGTACCATAGAGTTCCTCAATATTCAATATACGGTATATAAAGTATATTCTATACCTGAAGACTCAGTAATCACATTGTGTACCATGTTTATAACTTGTCTTAGCTTACGATTTATCATATCCATAAGCATCTTTATACAACTTTAAATATAAAATATCATACTCATACATATTTTATTATTTGAGCTTGCTGTATTCTTTTATACCAATAAAATCTTTCTCTAATCTCATGAATATCGGTAATAAAGCTCATCAATATAAAGATGCTTATAAACAACAAAAACAAAAATCAGGCTAAGATCAATTGGAAAACACTAATTAAATTAAGCAATTCGTTACGCATCCTACTCAATATATTGGTTTGTCATACAACTTTTATCATCCTATTGTACAGAATAATCTAGACCAAAAATAAATATTCAATTTTATGTCAGCTTAAAAATAAAGCTCCTTGCAACAACTGAACCAGTGATAAAGTACTTCTTTGATTTTGTTAGATGTTGGTCTTTTGAGCCGGATGGACCAGTAAGATACCTTTTAAAAATAACACCAATATACCTCAGTTATTTAGTGTAGCTTTATAAAGTAAATTACATAATTTGACACAAGTTAGGCAATAATAGAATACAACTCAATTGCACTCAAGTACAGCTGATAAGCCGGATGTCGCTGCATGCCATAAGTAGTTGTAAACAATATTATTTACGGAGCATACTGTCGGGGGCCAATCGATTCACAGTTTGCTCTGTGCTCTCATATGGAAGGTTGATTTGCGTTCGTGGAAGGTAACTCAAGGATCGACCCTCTTCGGAGGCACCTCAACCACGCTCACATTTCGACCTAGTCGAGTGTCGTAAACATTTGTCATAATTAACACAGATTAGGCACTCGGCATTCTTAACGACCGCTGCGCTGCATTTGACCAACACGGCGGCTAATCCAATTTAGCTAATCTCATGCATAACTAGTTCGACCACAGATCGGGTATTCTAATTACAGGTGCGATTTTCGATTTCGATTGGGCACTCGCACTTTTGGCCACCGCCACTAAATGCTGCGTATGGCATTGACTTGGATTTCGAGCGACTTGAGTGCGATCAGGGACCAAGTGCCAGGCGGCAGAGTGGCGAAAAATTGATTGCTTATAATATGCAAATCGCTCCCACATTGCGATCGCAATGGATTCTAGGCGAACCAGTTCGATCTAAGCTCGAAGCCAGGCCAAAGTGATGGCAATAAAAAGCGATGCTCATAAACGGAGAGTGCGCCGCGGAATCACTTAGCGCACTTTGAGACGCGTGAGAAATGCCTCAAACTCGCCGGAGTGCAACAGATTCTCAGACTCTCTGTGTAGAGCCCAAGCTGCAGAGGCGTGCAGCAGCGCTCCCAATTAAATAATTTACAATTTTCTAGATTAGGCGCCGCCTCCGTTCGCCGACATTGAATGTCTGAATGAGTCAGATCTGCGCTCATACTGCAAGTGGACTCGTGTATCTGCGACTCTTGAGACTTAGATCCGGTTTGGGGCTCGCCGGAGTCGTCAGTGGAAAAGCTGCCCCGCTGACACGCACGCCTTTTAAGGATCGGGTGGGATCCCGAGCCAGAGTCAGAGATCGAGTCCGAGCTCGATCCCTCTGCCTCTCCGCCCCAGTGAACTCTGGCCAAAAGCAATTAGCGGCCTAAACAAATTCGAGAGACAATTCTCAGAAGTGCCAGCTTGGCTTATGCATTGCATTGCATTCGCATAATTTGCTGTCAAATCGCACGCGTTTTTCTAATATACCCTTACTAGGAGTAGTTCGATTTACACAGAAGCTAAAATAATGACAGTAAATGTTTAGTATTGCAAACTTAAGTTAATAATCAAACTGCTATTGTAAGGACCTTGGGAAAAAGTCTTAGCAATTAACAATAATAATGTCTTGAAAAGAATATATATTAGGGATGTATATCCAGAAGATATTGATCTATAATATCGTAAAGTTTTATCTATGAAAATTTTATATTTCGAATATTATCAAATATTATATTATTATTCACAAAGATATTTTGAAATAAGTTTATTATTAAACTATTGTACTTACTACAGCATTGTTACCACTAATTTTGTACATTTATCAAATCGAATATCCTTTTATCGCATATGAATCGTAACGATAATAAATCGGTCTTCGTTGATCGATTCATATATCTGACAATTGAACAAAATTATTTCTCTTCTATTATATTTTTCTATTAAAATTAATATTAATATTGTTAAGCAAGCTAAGCAATTGTTTATCAAAAAAGTTCCTTGAGTATAGTTTAACATTTTTTAATGGGAAGAGCATTTGCACACTCTTTGCACACACTTTTGGGGCGTTTTTGTGGTTGCGTTGTCGACTTGAAATAATTAATGCGAACTGGTGTTAATTTATGGTTGTCGCTTTCGTTGTCGGATGGCGTTGCCGCTGCTATTGCCATTGCATGGCCTAATCACAAAACTCAATTGGAGGTTGGGCACCGCTGGAAAGATCAGAAGTCGGGATCTTTGGCTGCTTGTTAGCAATTTCCTGTCAGCCCACGAATTTTCTGGCTTATTGTTTTGTTTTGGGCCAGAGCTCGATGATTTATGATGGAAATCTCAGGCAAGTGCAGCTATAAATTTGATTCCGCAAGAGTAAAAATCGAACCAAGTACAGTGTGGGTTTCATTAGCTTAATTCTACAAATTTTAAAATCCTTACCTGGTGAACTATCAATAATACTTAACATTTTATTAATCAATAGATAGAAGACTGAAATATTGATCATATTAGATGTTAATCATAAAACATTTGCAATTGAAAATAGATAGACACATTGTAAAGACGTGAAATATATATATATATATAGCGACATTAATTTTAAAGTTTAAGAACAGAACGCTTTTAAGAAAATTTAATTTATTTAACAAACCATAACTAAGGTTACACAACTAAGCAAATAAATTACTCATACAACGAACAAAATAAATAGAGGAGGAAAAACTGTGGGCTGTCCAAGGATCTAGACCCCTTCCAAGGTGCTGTAGCTACCGGGCTGGAAACTATGTCCGCCCGCATACATGGGCACCATGTGCTTCTTGTCCTTGCGCACCATGCTCTGCACTAGGCTGGCCGACGCCGCTCCCTGCTCATCTTCCTCGGCGTCCTCGAAGTCGTCGTTCAGGACATTTGGGAAGAGAACAGGACCCGACTTGCCGGGTCTCTGGGCACGTGGCTTCTGTGTGGGGTGCAGTGGACGTAGCTTCTTGGGCTTGCGATGGAAGTAACTTGAGTAATCTGGACGAGAATAGGTCTTGGAGACGCCCTTGTACTTGTAGTGCTTCAGTCCCGGTGTAGTGTGCACAACCTTCTTCTGGTGTATGTGGTTGGAGATGCCCTCGGGGGGAATGCTAACCCGGGGCTTCGAGGGCGAGAAGCTGGTGTGCAGGGACTGCTGCTTGTGCAGATAGTTGTGGGGCAACTCCTTGGGCTTGTAGTGGTCGTAATAGCCATGTTGCGAGTGAATGGGAGATCCTGTGGTGTAGTAAGGCCTGTACTCCCGAGGTTCGTTCACAATGACCGCCTTCCAGTCACCCTCCTGCACCGCATAGGTGGGCTGCAGCTTCTGGGAGTAATCCTCCAGCTTGTGAGCGGCCGCAATCTGTTTGTAATAGGTATCCCTGGCCTGCTGCAAGCGATCCCTGATGCCAGGATCCATGTCCATGGGCACCTGCTTGATCCTCGCATGCGGCTTGATCTCAATCAGACTGGGAATCTTGGGATGCGAGTGCGTCAGATCCTCAATGGGCTTTTTGAGGGGTTTTATATCCGAGCTCAGGACGATGTGCTCCTGATCCTTGCTGTAGTGGTTGATCTTCGACTGGGAGGTGTCGTCGTTTACATGATTGCTACCCTCTGGGGTCTCCGTAATCGGATGCGAGTTGGCCCCCACCGTCTTGACGATGGCATTGAAGCCCTTCTTGGCATCCGCCGTATAATGGACGGTGCGTATGGAGCCGTCGGGCTCCAGTATGCTGTAGTGACCCTTGACCCCGTCACCGTCTCGGGACTCCCACTGTGACTTCACATCGCCCGTATGCAGATCCTTAACACCATAACTAAAGGCATATCCCGGATGTTCCTGAAATGATAAATTTAGATTTAGGCAAATATGATTGAGGGTTTTATAAAAAGCACACCTAAAGTGGCCCCAAACCGCACCTAAAAAATCGTATACACACTTTTCGACAGCCCCAATGGCTGTGTCAACGTCTGTAGAATTTTATATGTTTTCTTGACGACCAACGAAAAAAAATGCCAAATAAAAATGAAACAAATGCAACGTTTTTGTGTCAAGGCGAAAACGCGCGCTGTGCACAGTTTGAAAGCCACTGGAGGAGGCATTCGGGTTGCTGGGTTGGGTTTCTTTCTGTTCTTGGCCACATGGGATTGGGTTTTCTTTTGATCTGCAGCCGACATTGAAGTCAGAGCAACGTAATTATTAATTAAGAGTACGAATTAACCCTAAGAAACTGTGGAAGGTGTATTAGTTACCAATAAAAACGTGCTTTTTATACCCTTGCAGGGTATTATAATTTCAGTCAGAAGTTTGCAACGCAGTGAAGGAGGCACCTCCGACTATATAAAGTATATATATTCTTGATCAGGATCAACAGCCGAGTCGATCTAGCCATGTCCGTCTGTCCGTCTGTCCTTCTGTCCGTCTGTCCGTCTGTCCGTTTCTACGCAAACTAGTCTCTCAGTTTTGAAGCTATCTGAATGAAACTTTGTAGTTAGCCTTCTATATACTCTCACTCTTATATATGTCGGAACGGGCCGGATCGGACGACTATATCATATAGCTGCCATAGGAATGATCGGAAAATTTTTACAAAAAATTTTTAACTTTTTCAGTTTTCAATAGAATTGGATCAAATTTGAGATATAGCCATTCTACTATACTCTACAATTTTGCATAACATTTTATGAAAATCGGACTACTATATCATATAGCTCCCATAGGAACGATCGAGAAATTAATACAATTAAATTTATAACTTTTTCAGTTTTCAGCTGATTTTCATCATTTGAGGTATAGCCATTTTGTATTAGTCTTAAATTTTGTGTCAAATTTCATGAAAATCGGACGACTATATCATATAGGTGCCATACAAACGATTGTTTGATGTAGAGGAAAAATGCCAATCTGCGAATATAAAACTGCAAATATAATATGTATAGGTGAATGAAATGAAAGCAGGTATTACTTCATTTTTTTGTAACACAAATAAATATAATTTATATTGTTGAGATTCCAAGTCATAGAAGTTCTATCTGCAAGGGTATATAAACTTCGGCGTGCCGAAGTTAGCTTCCTTTCTTGTTAGTACTAAAACTGGATCAGTGTAAGTGAGAGTGAAGAAATAATAATAATTATTTGAAAATAAATAAAATTATATATACAAAATATAAATATTCTAAGTGACTAATTCTCTAATTAAAAATGAGTATTCTACTAAAAATGACACATATTCAAGAGTTACGCCAGGCGGAACTTTAGCGTAAATACAAATTTAATTATAGAATTTAGTTATTTGATTTGAGTTTCTTTTTAAATCATAAATCTCAACAGTTTTAATAGCAGTGCATGTTGGCTACCACACTTTTTGTTAATAATAGTGTTAAATGCAAATGACTTTAATTTAAACTTAAATGACATTCTAGATTGTTATTTATAGCCAACATATAGCCAGGCATTAACCCCATAAAGCCGGCCACTAAATAAACCTAAAAATTTACATAAATTCAATTAATATAAAATGTAGAGCATTCGGTGTCAGCTGGACATGCGTCGCTCTGTTAGTTTTAGTGGCTATGCGGGTCCCCTTCTTTTTTTCCTTTTTTTTGGCACCTTTAGTATTTCTAAGGCAAATTGCAAAAGTTTTTCGCATACTTTGGCGCTGGCTTCAATTAAGCGCAGAAGTCCATAAATGGCCACGCACACACGCACCCAAAACGCGAATGGTTTTCATTTTTCTTCTCTTGGTTTTTTGTTGTTGTTTTTGTTTTTGGTGGATACTATTGGCAACTATTGGTTACTTTTCTGTTCGCTGCCTATCAATTTTGGCCACAACTCCCTGCTCCGCTGTCGCTGTCCGGACGAAACAAATGATTACAAGCGAGTGTAACCTGAGCGGCAGCCGTCGGACGCACGTCCCTCTGTACGGACTACAGTCGAGACCTCTAATATTGAACACATTGAATATAGAATTTTATTAATGTTAAAAAGCAAAACATTTCTTACTTTCAAACACTTCTTGATATGAATTATGAATATGAATATGAATTATTATAAAGTTAAGAAGAGCCATTAGACAAGATCGTGTCATTATCTCTATATTTAATTGCTTATGCGGTTATGACAGTGGTTCTTTAATTAGAATTTTAAAAGCTTTTCAGCTTTTATAGGGAGCAAGATTATTATACAACACTTGCAATAAAAATGCTGAATTAATAGACTAAATTAGATCAATAGTTGTATTTCAATTAATGTATCACTTTCATTGAAGAACAGAAAAATACCAGAAAATATTAGAACAATAAAATACTGATCTAACAATATAATTTTAATTTTCAATTATAACTTTAATTTGAATTAGTTACATGTTTCATTAAATTGTAAAAAAAATTCCAAACGGAGAAGTTGTTTAATTCCCAATTTTATTTGTAACCTTTATTTTATTTTATTTATTTGTAACCATTAGTTATTTGTAACCTTTAGTAGTTCTTAAGACTCCTTATTTTCAATTCCCCTCGAGTAGAACACAATGAAGCTGTACTGTGGGTTATAAATAAATTTGAGCGCCTGGATATATGGAGGTTTTAATAAGAGTTGCATAAGCAACTGGCCAATGGAAAATGGAAAATGACCACTGGACATTGGCCACTGGCCACCCAAAGAGATCATTGGGAGACACTATCACGGCTGGTGGCCAATTTCGCAGGCAGCTTTGTGGGTGCGTGTGAACTTTAACTCATAAATTTATGGGTGAGCAATTTATGATTTGGCTAACTGGGCGTATGCGCAATCACTCCACTCCGCGCCACAATTACATGCAAATTACGCATACGCGGCGTTGTCAACATTTTGACAACAAATCGCCCGACAGATCGTGGGAGCACACACACACAGAGCACACGAATCGAATCGAATCAAAAAATTTGTGACAGTCGCGACAGTTCCAAAAGGCGTCTACGACAGACAGACAGCATGGAAAACATTTTAGCATTTTTCGACAACGCACCTTGCCGCACCGAGCCGAAAACAGTTACAAAAGGAAAGAAATCAATCTTGCCTTCGGGCCACCTTTCGCTTGCCTCTTGACTCGGATCGTAGGTGCAGCAGCCACAAGCTGCGCTATAAAGCCTTATATGGCGCCCCCAATCGTGTGCGCACGCAAAACGCATTTTCGCATTTTTTGTTTTGTGTATTTTTATATTTTCCTACTTGAGCGTTTTCGCATTTTCGCATTTTCGGCTACCTGACAGCTCTCCCCGCCCCTTTAGAAAAAAGAAACAATGGATTGGAAGTCAGGTCGGGCCAACAAGTTGATTTATGTGGGCGGCGGCGGAGGCGGCTATAGCCATCGAAAGATATAGTATTCGAACATTCTGCAGTCGCATGGACAACATTCACTTTCAATGGCGGAAAATGCGTTTTCCACAATCCCCAGATTAGCAGCGGTATTTATGCGTCCCCGACTTGGGCTGCCTTGATGTATTAATCGCTGGTTGGATCCGCTCTACTTTTTGATAGATCGATCAACTACGTAATTAATTGTGAGCCGTCAGATGATTTATATCATTTAATACTAACTAACGATCAATTTTTTGTGGACAGCTGTCAGAGGGGGATTACGCTAAAATATGTCATTTATTTGCTAATATTTGCACTGCTGCTGCTGGTGGGTGAGATCTAATAAAATATAATTCAAGAAATTTAGACATTTCTCACATTTGAAAAGAGTTTAAATATTGTCATATATTTTGATATTCTAAAGAAATTACAGTATGTTCTGTTAAGAGTGAACTAAAAGTAAGTAGGAAAGCTGCTGTGACAGACTGTGTGATATCCTCTACCTAATATTCATATGGCTAATACACTTTTTTAATTCTGTTTAAATGTATAACAAATTTAATAAAACAATACAGTTGAATTAAGATTTAGAAAGCAAATAAAGAAAAATATTTAAAATTGCAATGTACACCAAAATATAGAAAAATTTTCATAGAGACAAATTGAACAGCTCCATAAATTTCATTGTATAAAAACTTTAATGTTTGTTAACTGATCTTTTTGATTAAGAATTTATATACCCTATGGAGTCGGATGCCTCATTCAAATTCTTACGATTTTTTCTTTTACTTTTTCCACACTTTTCACTTCTTCTATTTCTAATAATTCTTCTATTTCTTTGTATACCTAATATCATCGTTTTCTTACATGAAGTATTCACTTACATTAAAGTTTCCCACAGTAAAAAACAGCAATGTACCAAAAATGTACCAGCAAAATACCCAAACAGTAATGGCCAAAATCACATGGCAAATTAAGATATATTTTAAAATATTATTGTATGAAGTCCTTGGCAGATCTATTCGATCCATTGATTTAGAGATCTATTGATGTATGTACATATATCTTAACTATTTTCCCTTTTTAGACCAAAACAGTTGAGTTTTCAATAGTTGGTCATACTTAGTTGACAGCATTAATCTTTAAAAGTAAAAAAAAAACATATTTAATAATTTGTTGTTTGATATTAAAATGAAATATTTAAATTCTAGTTCTTGCGGAGATTGCGTTAAATATTAACAAAGTGTAACATATAAATAAAGAAAACAAATAAACTGAAAAATTACTTTAAATATGTATTTTTCTCTAACAACCAATAAATATTTTTCTGCTAAATTAAAATTGCATAGTATTTAATTAAATATTTTCTGTGATACATATATTTTTCGTTTTTTTTTTTTCTTGTTTCTATTGCCGTCACTTACATATTGCGGGGCGTACTCCATGGTTTCATCATCATCGTCGGCGACCACAACAGGTGCCCCGCCCCTCACAGCTTCGGTGGACGGGGGCGGGTCCCCAGGCAGATGAGGGCGAGAAGGATGGCCAGGAGGAGGGGCGGCGGCGCTGCCGGCTGCGACGGCAGGCGGCTCGTTATCTGCAAAAAGGCATTTAAGCGGAATATGAATGCGCTTTTATCAGCGGAGCGCTTAATAAACGGAGCGATAAAACGAGTTAAGCCAGCATACCGAGCAGTCAATAAATTGCCAACAAAATTATTACGCGAGCCCAATAGGAAATAAAAAGCGCAAAAAGCGGGAGACACAGAAATTAATTGGACACCGAACGGAGAAGCGTGTCGGGGGATATTGGCTGGGAGGTGAAACCCGATCCCCGATCCCAGACCATGTCATACAGCGTTGTGACAGTTGTCAAATGGTAATGGCAAAATACACCTTGCCGTCCGAGATCCGAAATGAAAAACGCCAAAAAATCGGTGCTCCGAAATTAGGCAGCCAAGCAGACAGAGAGACACCGGGCACATTTGTAGCGAGCATATGACAGCAAATGCCTGTCCAACGAATACTTTTGGAGATTGATGGCTTTGCTTAAGACCAGTAGCCCAAGTTGCCACCACCCTGCCCCGATTCCGATTTTGATTTCTATTTCGATTTCGGCTGCGAGATGGAAACGGGTCTGGCAGGATGGAGCGTACTCGCACCGTACAATTCAATTTTCCCAATTGCCTCGCATTTGTTTCTTTGCAAATTGCCAAACATTTTTTGGACATTTTCGATTTTCGGCTGGGAGTTACGAGATCGCCCCAGACTCGCCTCGATTGGCATGTGTCTCTGCTTTGGGAAGGTTTCAGCTCGGCTCAGACTCTGTGATCGGTTTAATTAGCCCGGCCACAATGGCCACTGCCACAAAGGCCCAAAACTACAAGACGGCCGAGCAAATGAAGCGAAATTCAATTTGGGACACTTGTTAAGTCAAATATTTGCAGATCTTAAGAATAATACAACAGTATAATTGTTTTAATATACGACAAATCGATCTTAAATATGTGGTCAACTTGTTTGAAATTATCTTCAAAGCCAAGCTTCTTGGAAAACTATTGAGGTAATTAACTTTAACTAAATTAATTTAGCTTGAGAGTATTAATTATATAAGTTATTCTTACACTAGTGTAATCTATGAATTGAAAGTATCATGTCAACTGAACCATTCAACTTTAATAAGAATATTAAACATATTTGTCCTCTTAAATGATATTGTATGGGAAAGCTCAGGATATATCATATGTAGTTAAACAAATGCCTAAAGTGTTTAGTGTTCTTTACGGTAATCAGGTGCAAAACTATACCAGAAAGTGTTATTATTTTATTGACTAATTCTTTTAGGGGAAATCATATAAAAATTATATGAAAACTATAAACATCAAATAAATTTATTTTCTTATTAATATAAATATTAGCTGTCACAAAAATCACCATCAAAATTCTCTAAACTTTTAAAAAACCTACTCATCTACATTTAAACATTAACTAATCCCTTAATTTGTCATTAAATATGACTTTTAATTGCTCAATGTTCAAATGGTTGATTTGCATTTGTGGACATTTGCACGACTTTCACTCAAAGTGAAAGTTTTCTCTCTTTATAACTTTCGCTCATGATTGCAAACTGCCAAAAAGTGCAGGTCGATGCAAAGTAAATGCCAGATTTTGTGACATTTTAGTGCAAACACTTACAAAGAACCGCATGGTGAGTACAACTTATTTAAATTATGCTACGGAAAACACGTCACTGGTAACAGATCACTGATCACTGATCACTGGAAAAACGCGCTGCAAACGCTCCTCGTCGAACCGCTGCCGTTGCCTCAATGTCAAGGACAAAAACGTAATTAAAGCGTTGGCGAGGCATTGCCAAAGTATTTATAGATGAAGACGAAGACCGGCACACAGAGCTCAGCATCGGTTTCGTTTTCCCGGCAACGAGATTTTCCGGCTTCACCGGTTCCACTTCCACTTCCACTTCCAGTCCCCAGCGGCCACATCCAGCCATCCGAGAGACGCAACCAACTGCGATGAGCACCGCATTGCACACCGCAGATTGCACACCGAAGATTGCGGAGCGTGGATCGCAGCTGGGCTGCTTTGTCGCTTCCTAAGCTCAGTCTAATTGACAATTACTCGCGGCTCGGAGAGCTCTCCGCCTGGCCACTGATACCGCCGCGGTATCTGGCCAAACATACATACATATGTACATATATCCAGGCAGCGCCGACTGCCCGATTTGGACGGACCGACTTTTGGTTTCAGGCGCCGCCGTGCGGCAAGTAAAAGTAGTCGGCGACGCGACGCGACGATCCGTTGCAGCTGTCTAATGGCATTATAAAATTTATATCTGCCAGCATTACGTTTCGACTTTACATAAATTAATGGCGATTTGCTTTGCGAATGTGTCGTGTCTCCACTTTGCCAGTTAATCCTAGTAATCCGTATTAAAATCAAGTGGTGCGGACCACCACAGACATCGGTGGTGCAAATTATAAAGCTTGGGAAAATTTCCCAGAAGCTTACGTTTTATGTGAGCGAAAAACTTTATATCCATACTTTATGCTACTTTGTATTGCTGTAAAACCTTAAGAATTACGATTTTCACAAGTCTATATTTTCAGTTATTTGCTTTTAGAATAAAATAGAGGATTTAATTGTATAGTTATTGAATTTGTCTTAAATATAAGTCCTAAAATTCAACGTGTTATTGAATGAAAAGCCTGGAAAAAAGGTATTTCAAAGTAAAACACTAAAGCATGTTTCGATCTTCCTTTGCGAAAATCTAATTCAGAAAACTATCAATCAGATTTTAATGTTATGTTATGTTTGAATGTTATCCCAATATTCAAGTTTGAGAATTTTTAGGTATACTCTTTGCATCAATTTTGGCTTTACTAAAGTTTGGAATTTATATTTAATATGTTAGGTGTATCATACATTGTCTCATGATTCATGGATGTTATGTTTTGTCAAATAATTCAAAATGTAATACTTCAAGCACAAAAGAGTTGCTTTTTAAAGCAAACATTTTGCTTCCCTTGAACATCGCTTGTCACCCTCCCAACTTGACACAAGGATCAATTTGAATAAACTTATGCTTATGTATTTTAATATAAATACAATTTAAGATAAAGTGAAATACTATATTCGTTTGCTTTTCTCAGGTAATTCATTTGCATCCTTAAATACTTGTTCCATGTCGCTTTCGATCAGTCAGTCCACATCAGAGGTCCTTGAATCAGTGCAGTTGCTTCACGCTCACATAGCTGCTGGCATGCCCATGGCCGCCGTGTCCATAGCCTCCGTAGTGTGCCACATCGATGGGACCATAGCCGTAGTTGGCTCCGTAGACATCGCCGTGTCCGTAGCTCTTTTGGTAGATCTGGGGATGGTGGGCATGTCCCAGCTTCTTCACCACAGCATTGAAGCCGTTGTGGTCGTCGGCGGTGTACTCCACCACCCGAGTGGTGCCATCGGATTCCTTGAGGGAGTAGCTGCCCTTGACCTTGTCGCCATCCCGGGTCTCCCACTGGCTCTTATGGTCTCCGGTATGGGCGTCCTTGACGCCGTAGTCAAAGTGGTACTTGGGATAGTGGTGGGATTCGTGCTTCTCGTAGCCGTGGCCGTATCCCGCATATGCCTGGCTGGGATAACCGTGTCCGTAGATTCCACCATAGGTACTGATCACATCGTGGTCGTATCCATACCCATGGCTCTTATGGACGGGCTCCTCGTGCTTGACCACCGAACTGTAGCTGGTGGCATGTCCTCCATGGGGGCCGCCACTCCGACGCCCACTAACACGGCGAATATCAGACCTCCGCAAAAGGATTTCATTGTGGCCACTGCAATAGGTGTTCTTCAATTGGAACTCTGACTAAGTCTGCTGGTTCTAAGAGGGCTCACTTAGACATTTTATAGCTGTCCAAAAGTCTGGGGCAATCAACCATCGGACAGTCGTTCTCTTGGCCAAACCATTCACCATTCGTGCTAGCTGATTTGTTAATTACCCCAATAATTCATAATTATTATTATTGTATTCGGCCATTGAGCTCTATAGAAAATCGAATTCGTTTACAATTAAATTCTGCTGAAAGTAATTAATTATAACACAAATGAAACGGTGCATACAAGTTCATTATTGCTTCGATACGTTTGCACTGGAGTTCAAGAGAAGGGCGAGTCTGAGTCTAAGAACTCGATTGCTCAAAAGGGCAAAAACCAAAGCTCCACAAGCAACTAGGAAATGTTGTACATTAAAACTAGAACTAGAAGGTCGTTGAAAAAATTCAAAAATAATTTTGAAATTATGAACTTTCCACACCAAGAATTTAATTTAAAATTGTACGGCCATTAATTAATCCAAAATATGATTCATGGTGAATCAATAAAAGTCTGGTTATGGTATTAAATATTAGCTAGAACGTAATTGAAGAGTGTTAAGACCATTTCATAAATATAATATCAAAACTAGCCTTCATCTTTAACTCAAACTAAATAATATTAAATTACATCACTGATAATTGCAATGAGTTCTTCGCAGTTTAAAGACCTCGCAGATTGCACAACTGTAATGTTTACTTTTTTTTTGAAATCAATATTATAACTAATTGCCAGACTATGATTTTAATACTATATAATTATGGTTGCAAATTTGAGGCTATATGCAACTCTATACATGTATATTGCTTTTATGTCTTGATTCCTAAGCTTGGTAATATATTTTGACTGAAGACGGTCATGTTATTAAATCAATTAAATTAAAGAATTTCCTAATAGACGCCTATTCTTGTTTATATTGCTTTATTCCACATAGCCAAACCTCTCACCTTGTTAATTTTAAATATTTAGAAAACTAATCTGAGCAATTCGGAAGCGTTAGTTGCCCCAAAACGGACCCCCGGGTCGAAGCACCGACCGATTGGACGTTCCGCCCAGCGCCACGCCACGCCTTCTCCCCCCGTGTCAGCCGGCTCAAGGTCATTCGGAGTGAAGTCGGCGGAGTAGGGGAGGAGAATCGAAGAAACGCAGCGAGCCGAGGCGGCTATGGCTAAGTAATTTGAAAGCGGGCCACACTTGTTGATTGATTTCTAAGCTCCAAAAGCAACAACAAGTGTTGCGTTTTTTACTTTGTTTTGTTTTATTTTGCCTGCTGGGCGGTGTTCACGCCCCGCTTATTCAAGTTGTTGCTTTTTATTCCGAGTTTTTGATTTTTCGAGCCACATTTAATTTGCCAATCGCCCCGCCAAGATTATGAATACGAATGAGGAAAAATGAAAATTTGCGAAAAAATTCCAAGTATTTTTTCATGCCCGATTTTTGGGGGGCTCTTACTTTTTTTCTAGCCTATTTAGCCTCGAGAGTAAAGTGTAATTAATCGATCCGTAGAATGGGCTGAAGTATAAAAGCGTTAGACAATGTCTAGTGATTATCACAGTTCCCATTGCGATTTAGGCCAAGCAAGTCGATCGGAAATCAACGAAAATGGCTCACAAACTGACCATCCTTTGCTGCGCTCTCCTGGGTGTGGCCGCCGCTAGCTACATTCCCCATGGTGGCTATGAACATGGACACGGACACGGACACGGAATCGGTTACAGCATTCAGACGCACCATGAGGCGCCCAAGAAGTGGCAGGACCATCACCAGGAGCACCACCTCTGGGCAGAGGCTCCCAAGGCCCACCAGTGGGCACCAAGTCACCACACTCAACACACCCAGCACCATTGGGCGCCAGTTGCTGCGCACGACAACCACCATGAGCATCATCATGAGGAGCCCAAGCACCACCCCAAGTACGAGTTCGACTATGGCGTGAAGGACACCAAAACCGGTGACATCAAGCAGCAGTGGGAGACCAGAGACGGCGACAAGGTCAAGGGTGGCTACACCATGAAGGAGGCCGACGGTCGCACCAGGATCGTTGAGTACACCGCTGACGCCCACAATGGATTCCAGGCCACCGTCAAGCATGTCGGACATGCTGAGCACTTCGAGCACAAGCAGCACGGTCATGGCCATGGATACGATCACGGACATGGACACGCCACCAGCTACGTGGATGTGAAGCAGGACACCAGCAGCAAGTGGCAGGATGCGAGCAGCAAGTGGTGGTAAAGGATATCACTCAGGCGACTGTACTACTACCTGAGAGCATAGCGGATATCAGTGATGTAAAGCCAATGATAATCCAATGTTTATGTTCCAACGACTCAAACTAAATAATTGTAAATAGAGACAATTAGTTGTAGGCAAATAAAGCGAAGCAAAGAGCAGGAAATGCATTGAAATATAAAATATAAATGTGTTTTATTACAGTGGAGCTTGGCGCGTAATTCATTTAGTGAATTCGAAAACACACCCTTAATTCAAAAAATGTTTGCCCATTCAACAGCAACTAAATTTAATTACTGGGTCAAGCGAAAATAGTAAAATATTAGGCAAATTTAAGCCAAAATAACTAAGAATGGGCTTGTATAAGATCATATTGCCTTATGCTGAGGAATTAAAAAAAAAAACATTTAAAATATCGATTGACCATGACTTTATTGGTCACTTGACCGACTATCAATTGATAGTGCCAACCGTCGGCTCATAGAAAATAATGTCTAAAAATCCCTACATATTTGGAAAAACTTGATATATACCTCAAAACGTGGAGAGTTTGAGATTTTAACAACTTTGCAACACTGAACCATCTATATGCAAAATCACATATGTATTATGTAAGGAAAGTTTGTTAGCTCGCTAAATATATTTTACAAGAATATATACTAAATATTTAAAAAATGTGTTTATCAACATTACCATAACATAACATAATAAGATATATTTTGCAGTTTTAATCGGCAGTTGATTTTAACAACAAATTTACATAATGTTGAACTTACAGCACGTAAAAACATTTTGTTTGAGATATTGACACTAAAAGCGCCACTTTGTGAATTTCCGGAACTAAGCTAAAATGAAACCACTTGCTGAAACACTTAAAGCAGTTCAGCAAGAAGCGCAGACAGTTGAACTGCTTGTGTTGTTTTAAAGCAGTGTTTTCAAATGTGAAATTCTTTTGAAAACCTAAAAACTATAATATGTATACATATAAAAATAAAAAATAAAGTTAGCAATACAATCAAAGAAATTTCAAATGGGTTAAGTTATTTAACAACATCATTTTTTTTACATTTTAAGCAATTGGAAACCACGAAAAACAGACTTAAATCAGACAGCGCTGGTCTCTTTGTCATCTGTCCACACATTGATGGAATTCTGTCCAATGGAAACCGAAGCATCTTGGACCCTTCAAATAAATTCATCAATTAAACATTAATTTATGCCGTGAAGCAAAGTTTTGCGGTCACATAAATCTGCGAGCGTTGTTTGCCTGGACCGCAATGGGCGGAGTTGGCCCAAACCCGATGGGCTGCTGACCTCGGAGCCCGGGGACAAAATGATTGAGGCTCCGCCATGGGAAAATTCCATTTGCCATGCTCCGAGGATAAGACTGCCACCGAAATGTAAATGATGTTGAAACATTTATTGGTTACAGGGAGAACATTTCCACGCCGCGATAAGCGACAAACTGTTGACAGTTGGGATTGGGATCTGTAAGGGATATGCCCGGATTTATTTGCCGAGCTAGTTACGCGTGTATGTGTGCGGAAAAATAAAGCGGCGGGAAAAACCTTTGCCTTTGGCTCATAATTCGCAGCTTCTCCACACACTGCCGGCCAGTCTTGGCCACCAGCTCCTCCAGCTCCGCCTCCACCTCGCTGAAGCTCCTTCTCCACGTTATTCGCCTTTATATGGTTTCATTAAAAATGCAAATGAGCAGTGGAGATTGCAATCGTGGCAGGCGGCCAGGTGGGGTCAACAAAAAAGAAACAAAAAAAAGAAGGTAAAAAAAGGAAAAGCTCACACAAAGACCGAAACGCAGACGTGAAATTTATGCCAAGGGTTCAGGAACTGAAATTTATTGTTGCCATCGCGGTACATCGAATATAAAGCGGGTTTCGTAATGAAAATAACTCATACTTCAAGCAACTATTTATGAAACAGTTGATATTTCCTAAGTATAATTTGATATTTTTTAATTTGGATTAAAAACCCGTTCAAAAACAAAGTATGAAAAATGTTTATAAGCCAAATCACCTAGTTCTAGTCAATATGCACAACTAAAATGAGATATTTAGAGCCAAATTAATTCTCAATTTATAGCGATTTTGTAGTTGGATCCAGGTTCTTGTTATCTTTTTTCTTCGGGGTTTGATTTATCCGTAAACATTTTTTCAAAGGGGTGTACCCGAAATTTCAAGATCTTTTTTTTTAATTAACTTTTGCTACATACTCTTTAAAACATTCACAAGGTCGATCCTTTTGGGACATCCTTCAAATGAAGTGATTTTGTCAGGAATAGTTGACAAATTCCTTAGTTTCTTTCATTCATTCATTACAGCCTTTTTTTTAATAAAGAAAATATATGCGACTGTTGATTAAACAAAAAAATACGTTGTATAAGTCTTCATCACCTATATGTTTTATACATAGATATACAACACATTCAACAAACAAATTTTAATTGAACGTTAAGAATTTATAATATTATTTTCTTGGATTAGGTTAAATAATTAATTAATAATTATTTATTTATTATTACAACAAAATTTAATTAATCAACAATCTGCTGTGTACCTGAAGTACAAAATTAAAAGCTAAAGTAAAATATGCACACATCTGCGAAAGTCTTTTTCAATAAAATTTAAATTAATAATAAAATATATAAAAATATAATTTTAAATAATAACAAAAATTTAATTCAGTTCATTACTATATATTTAATATTTTGTCAGATTTCCCAGAGCTAGGAGAAAGTGAATTGCGTCCTTTTAGGGATCTTTGACTGTACCTTGATTTGCTGGGAAATGCCTGCAGTTAGAGGCAGATTTGGCCGGTGGTTGAGGCCTTCTGCAGGTATATCTCAATTGCATTCTTTCCGTAATATAGTACTGTTGCCCTTTCGACCTTTTTGTCGCTTGCCCAAAGGCGTTCGCCAGACACAGAACCCAGAATGGGGAGAACTGAATCAGAGACGGAAAGCAGGAGAAGCAGGAAAAGCAGCTCGAAAGCCGAATTAAATCGGCGAAAGTTCAAAATGAATGAAAAGCAGCTAGCGACGAATAAATGAATGAAACGAAAATGAATCCCAAGGGAAGGAGGAGTGCAGCGGAAAAGAGCAACCAGCGCCTGGAAAAACTGTAGCCCTGCTTCGGTCGCGTTCGGTCCTCAGTTTTCCACCGACCATTTGGCCCTGTTGTTATGACAGGCGGGCATGTCAGGGGCGAACGTGGCAGATGAAGGGGCATGGCATGGGAGGGGTTCAAGGACTGCCACGAAAACAGAGGGCGCACGGGGAAGTTTTGCCTGATTTCGGCGCCGCTCAAAGTATAATAATGTGACCTGGCGATCCCAAACTCCTTTTGCTCTTACAGCTCCTGAAGTCCAACACATAGTGTTGCCGTAAACTTCAAAGTTTATTCCGGCATGTAGAGACATTTTTAATTAATTTAAATTTCAGTCTGTTCTTTTAATTTAAATCCATTTTTGAACTAAAATAAATAATTTATATATATAAAACTCAAAGATCAGCAGTTGAATTTGAGGATCTTAGTATATACATTTTTAGTTAGTTTTAATTTTGTAAGTCATTTTAGCTTCTAATTAACAAATTTTATATTTTCCGAAATTAAGACATTTCGTTACATTTTTCGATGCTAAAAATAAAGATTCAGTGCTAAACATGTGTAGTCTTTTATCGTTTCCATTAGTATAATATTTTTAATATTTTGTAAAAGTTTTGGCCTCTTGAAATTGCATCACCACTGGCGCCTTGTCGCTATGTGGGCGTGGCAAGGGCCCGGTGGAAAAGTGCAGCATGGCGGCCTGGCCTGCTCCAAGTGCACACTTTCTCATGGCTTAGCTCTTTGCTGCATGCCTCGTTGGCTTTTCCGAGGGGGTTGGGAAACTCAGGACGTGGCTTATGCAACAAATAATTTAATTTTATGCTGCATACAAAAAGGCGCAACTGGCATACGAACGAAAGAACCAACCGACGACGAATGAACGGGGAGGCGGAACGACAACGGAAATGCCACTTTACGGCCTGTTTGACGGAAAAGTGGACGTTAAGTTGTGAATATGATGATGGAGATGAAGAAAGTTGATGATGATGAGCACGATTATGGCCAGGACCCACTGGCTGGCCAAGACAGAGAGAGAGAGAGAGAGCAACAAGCAGCGCACAGTGGGACCGAAAGTCACTTTTATTCAATCAATAGCTAAAATAATTGATAAAAGACCGAAAATATGAAATTTCGATTCCAATCTTCTATAAGAAATCAATAAATTTAGCTATTTAAGGATAGAGTTGCTTATTCTATATCATCATCATCACAGCATTTCCTTTCATGTTGATATCCTTCTAACTGAGGAAGTTATATGTTTGGTCCACTGTGCAGCAACTGAAATATAGCGCTAACGCCCCTTGGGACTATGCGGAGCAAAAGAGAGGTTCACAAAACGCCATCGAGGTCAGCCATAAACTGGCCTAAATGTCATATCAACTGAAGAAGATGTCCTGCGAGCGAAAGGGCAGCGCCATCAAAGCGAAGGATTAGGGCGTAAAAATGCCCGTAGAGGTTTCCATAAATTTTGTGGTTGATTATCATATGAATAAGGTAATTGGATTATTATTTAAGTGTCTATTTTGTTTATTGACAATGTAATTTATCTAAATGGAAGAATTTTTGTATTTCATGAGTTGCTGGTGTTGTGAATATAAGAACCAAGTTTTTATTGATTGAATGCTTTTAAGTCATTGAAAAATTGAGTAAAGCAAATACTTCGTAAATAATCGATAAATAAATAAACAGCTCCAGGCGAGGATACCTTCCTATGAAACAACCGGTAAAATGATTGCAAAATTTTAAAAATTCGAAATACTTTATGTACCAAGTTTGTATTGTTTTTCCACTTTATGGAAAAGATTATCAAGGCACACATCAAACGCTAATTGTAGACTTTAATTGATTTTTATGAATGCCTTGACCTGAGTACAAAGGCCTATAAGCCCCATAGACACCCATAAGCCCTGAAACCATCCAATCGCCACCAGCTGTCCCGTATTTCACGCCCTTTTGGGCAGCA